CTTTTATGACGTGTTAGTAGATTATGGGTGTTTATAAATAAAATTTAGCCCAGATTTCTACGCAGATAATATTTTTTCCGTTCAAAAAGTTTCCCGCAGGTGACAATTCCGAAACTCAGACTAAGTTGAGAATAAATTAACTAAACTACATTTTCTGAACAAAGAGAACCTACAAATTGTTCTAAACGACAGACCAAAGGCTTTGCAAATTCGGCTTTTCAATATTTAAAAAATACTAATGTTACCAACGATTAGATAAGATGTTTCCTTACCCTAAAAAGAAGAAAACTGAAACTATATAGAATCACTCGACGACCGATCAAACGGAATAATAATTTTTGAATCTCAGATATTGTAAAAGCTAAAATAAGAAAGCTGAAACTGGACCACATTTTAAGCACTAGCTTTCAAATAAAAAAAGAATCATCAAAATCGATCCACCCAGTAAAAAGTTATGAGGTAACCAAAATATTAAGCCGAATTGTCCAACTCCTACTTTTTTGATGTCGGTTAAAAATAGACATGTTACCATTCATTATTACCAGCACACCCATGGTACTTCATTTTGACAGTTTCCGAGATAAATTGCCTGCTTAGTTTACAAAAGCATGGAGTTGCTAAGCTTTATTATGCCGTATAGCTTCTAAAGTTTTTATAAAAACTTACATAAAAATTTCCATCTTCATCTCTTAAAGAGTATTTTTGCTCTTCGATATCCTAGCGCAAAAGCCGTTTTTATCCGCTAAAGAATAAAGTAATTAGAATTAAGTACATCATGTGCACTAAGTTTGTGAATTCAAAATATCATTGACCTATTTACTTCTACCTACTTAATTTATCATACAACCTTTTATTTTTAAATAATTAGTTAAAACTCAAGACTTCTTGAAATACTTTTTAATATGCTTTGCGCGTGCCGTTTTCTTTTCACGTCTTATTGTTAAAGCTTGAAAACAAGTGAATACTCTAAAATGAAGTTATGAAGGTTATTTGACGCAAACAGAATAAGGATGACGACGGAGTAAAAAAATAATATTTAGGCAGTCAGATACTAGAAAAATATTAGATAAGCATTTTTTAATACTTCATTTTAACAAGAAATAACTTAGAACACTCAAGAGGCACTCAACTTAAGTAACTGTACCAATGTTGCTTTCAATTTTTCTTAATTATATGTAAGTATCATTTGTTATAATTTAAAAATTATTCTGTATACTCGCCTACTATCATAACTGAAACAAAAGTACCTATCTTGTGATTGCAAATGTTTTTGACAATCACAAGATACTTTGCATTAAGTCATTTCCTAGTTGAGATGGCATGAAAAATTAAGTGTTGAACAAGAGTGTAAATTTTTTTTGAATCACGAGCGCAGTGAATTAATTTAAGAATCCTTTGCTTGCTCGGTCTTTCAATTTTCAACTCTTGCACACCAATCATTATTTTTTAGTTCTATAGTTTTAACTAAGAATTAAGAAATATGCCTACAACAAATGTATACGAAGAAAAAAAAATAAGAGCGAGATCTTTATCTCCTCATCCGTAGAGAAACTAATTATAGACCGCGAGAGAACCACTATCGAATGAATAAATAAAAGAGGTTGAGTTGAGTAACGTAGTATAATAGCAATCTGTCAAAACATAACATGTACAAAATGCAAAAGTCTCGCAACGCAGTTCTACTGATGTAAAAAGTAGTGGAATCTTAAATCAACTAAATCGGTTCCCAATCTTACAACTTAATAATAACAATCTGTGAATAAGTGAGTTGATCAAGTAGAGCCAGTTGCACAAACGTCCATTAAAATAAAATTTTATTTTTAATTATTTACAGAAACGACATTTCCGATAAAAATTTGACATTCATTAGTTTAAATGCGCCATTAAACCTTAATGTACGTTTGTGCATCAGACCGTTTGTCTCTAAAATAAGAAAATTTAATGTAATTTGGAAACATGTCTAAATATCTATTGATATCATTAAGACTAAAACTTAGGGATTCGAGTTTTTTCCACAATGAACCTAGGGAGGATGGAGTTGTCAAGTCAGGGAAGAGTCACGAAGTCGAGATTTAGTCAGTTTTTTATAAGCAACATCATATAGTACATACATATTTGAATGCCTATGTTTTTTATTAAATATGTACATTCATTTGCATTTGATAAGATGAAAAATTATGTTACAACTAAGGGGTCGAAAATGAACCAAATGACTTTAGAGAAACGAATGATAAGACCATGCATTTTCGATTTTGTAATGCAAACTTAATGTTATTGTTCGGAAACTATTTCTTGTTTCTGAACAAGCAGAATAGTTTCTGTACAATACCGTAAAAACAATAACAAAATATATAATAAAATTACTTTGATGATAATTTTATTACGGACCACAACCGTTTCCATAAAAAGCTAGCCGCCCAATTGAACGACTGTTTTAACCACTTGGCTGCGACATAAATATTACGTAAGTCTTACATAAATTGTATTTTCTACTTATATTTACGTATAACAGAACCCTGCGTACAGAAAAGAGGCACAAAGCGGGCCCGGGCCGTTTATTAAATTAATTTGTCACAGTTCCCGGTTCGCTTCTCCGATACAAAGCATCTATTTAATTTTGTAAACGAATTCAAAGTCTGTCGGTACGTGACCGCTATAATTTAATGAAACACCAATAATTTAATCAGTCATCAATCTTCTTCTTCAGACGTCTGCTTTACCTACTTAGGATATATTTTAAACACTCGCTAAAACATAATTTAAATTAATATCTGTTTTAAGCAAATAAAGAACTTTTACTATCTAAATGTAAAACAACGAAGTTAATAAAATACCCAGACTCGAGACAACATAGAAAGTTCATTTTCTACATTGTAATCGGGAATCTAATCCATGACCTCAAAGATAGTGACACCTTGAAACCGGCGGCTGTGTGTCACTCGGCCATGGAAATTGTTGATAAGTTTACAGGTTATATTCCTGATGAGTTTACAGGTTGGATAACATGTAGGTTGTTTGATAGCAACATAATATCTAACACAAATAAACCCTCTCAAAATCAATTATCAGGTGGGGGATATATTTCTTAATCGATCTTAGACTGAAAACATTTTTATTTGTTGGTCATATGTTTAGATATCACCCGCATTCGTCATAAATCTTCAGAAATCCACATGCGGATCTTATCGACAAAATCACATGAAGCTTTAGCAACAAAAAGTGAAGTCACATTAAAATACGTAATTATAATTCCAAAAGGAATGACCCATTCTCAGCTTTCTCATGACCAACCAGTCATTGGTATATCTGCAAATCTCCAGAACCCCGCATGCTGCGAGTCCTTTAACTTTCCAAGGCGGCCTTATGGTATACGGAATCCATCGACCCAGGTTAAACAACTTTTGACAATGAGGAAGTATTTAAAAAAAACGAAAGCACTAAAAAAGCACCTCCACTAGATGGCGACTCGAGCAAAAGTTGATTCTGCAGGAAACGATTGGACTAAAGACATTCATTTCCGTTCCTTTTAACTAACATATTAAAAAACTGAAATTGGAGAAGTTCGAAACTTAGATACCAATACAAATACGAAAAAGTACAAATAGAATATGAGTTGTTTATGAGGAAGTATTTAAAATAAAATGAAAGCACTAAAAAAGCACCTCCACTAGATGGCGACACTAGCAAAACTAATTTTTGCAGGAAACGAATGGACCAAAGACTAACATATTAAAAAACTGAAATTTGAAAATTTCGAGAGTTATATATCAATACAAATACGAAAAAGTACAAACAGAATATAGGTTGTTTAGTTTTGAAAACTATTTTACTTTTAAACATGAAAGAAAATCGGAAGGATTGTTTAATATGAAAAGTTCGAAGCTTAGATATCAATACAAATACGAAAAAGTAGAAATAGAATATGAGTTGTTTATTGAAATTTGAAAACTAATTTACTTTTACACATGAAAGAAAACCGGAAAGGTTGTCATGGGGAAATCAAGAACGTTCTGTAGTGACATCTAGTTTGATTATTGGAACTAATGTTTTTTTTTTAATATTCCTTAAATACTTCAAAACTAAACTATAACTTAATTTTTATGTTCATCATATTTAATTTTTCTAAACTGCCCCAATTAGATCCCTTTGCTTTGACTTCCTCAAAAAAAATAACGCATTTGTCAATGTCATTTTTATAGACATTTCGTATAACTTGCCACTTAAAACAATATTGCCAAATAATGAAGAAATTTTAATTAATTTAAAGGTGTGATGTTTTATAACATTGCGAAACAATAAATAATAAATTTATTGTACACGTATTTGTCGTCGCTTTTGACGTCTATAATTCACATTACTTCTGAAAGCAAATAGGAATGATATATTGACAATCTGAAAATTATTACAGAAATTACAGTAGTAATCTAAATTTTTACTACTTACTATGTACTTACTTTCAGACAAGCACCAGCCAAACGTCTTTCAGATTGGTATGAAAAAAAAACTTTTATTATTTAGTAGGTGTATAGTATACAGACGTAACTCTGAAAATTTGTTTCTTAAAATTTCTTTTAAATTTTAATGAAAAATCGTTACTTATTTTTAATACAATTTCAGTTGTCTGCGTCGAAAAAATTGAAGTATGAATTATGCTCTTACAAAATACTAAAAATATAAAAACAATAAAAATATCAAATCGGGCAATAATAGTGTAAAAAGATTAACTAAAGTAAATATTGAGTATAATTATATAGTATATTGAATATAATTGAGTAAATAATTTTTCATTTGACTTTTTTAAAATACCCTGTCCGTCTACTACAAAATGTTATATACGCCCAGAACACGGCATCTTAAATATTGGTAATAGCAACACTGTCTCTTTGACGTGACGTCATTCATTCTAGTTTCATCTGCAGAGTGGCTGCTTTCTGAAACTTTGCAGCGGTTTATCTGCAGAAATACCTATATAATTAAACTAATAAGAAAAATAAGACATCATGGGGGACTCCCTAGATGGGAGTGAAAATGCTCCGGACTCACAAAATGTCGTTGCGGTCGATTTTCAAAACTTTGCAAATTACCTTCGCCGAGCCGCAACGGTACTTTTACCTGAAGATGATGTACCACCACCAGCGCTGAATGCGGCACTTGACGATAAAGTGAATCAAGACTGTATTAAAAAGTTTATCTCCGACCCGCAGGTGTCCTCATTGTATGTTCAGAGATTCTCATCCAAAGGTACTTCTCCAAAAAATATATACTGATTTTAATTCAATATTACTCTAAAGTATTTGCTAAGTTGCCATGATGTTATAATTACAATGCGTGACTGCACTTCTTGAACAGTCTGATATCTAAATGCCTCAGCGGTGACTCATAAGTATTGATTTTTTTAGTGTGTTGAACCCTATTGCAAGAAGAATAAATGGTGAATGTCTTATAAGAAAGTGAAAATCTTTTCACTTCTACTTGGAATATAAATTGTTGTATTTTCTGATAATTATTATTATTGAATATTAATAATTATTGATTTTAAAATAAATAATAACTTATGGATTTTTAATGCATATAACTTCTATATATATAAAAATGAATCGCAAAATGTGTTGGTAAGCGCATAACTCAACAACGCCTCGACCAATTTGGCCAAATCTTTTTTTAAAATGTTCGTTGAAGTTCAAGGATGGTTTTTACGGCGAGAAAAATTAGAATTATTGCTGGAAAAACCCTAAAAATAGCCCTTTTCTTTTTCCCATACAAATGATTTGTAACTAAAACGTAGTCAATTTGAGCTTTATTGCTATGGTATAAAGTTCATATTAAATTACAAGCACTCACTGTTGTCTAAGCAATGTAGGTGTGTTCCTAACGTCAAAGATCATATCTATCAAAACAATGTGCGTGTGTGCGTTGGAGCACAGAATACATAGTTGGAGGAGTTTAATGTCGCGTTCCGAAACTCGCGTTTCTTTTGTATTAGTTTCGGCACGCGAGATAAAATGCATCAGTTTCCACGTCATTACATGTATTGCCGGAACATTGATGAAAATACGCTCTGTAGTAGCAAAGCTGTTGGGTCCTAGATAGCTCATTGGTTAGAGCAGTCCCTGGATCGCGAATGGGTTCGAGTCCCATTCCGGGGTACAGGTAGATGGATTCTTCCAGCATTTTTCCTTGAGAATGTTTATATATTTTTTTAATTCGAATAGTTTACTTTTATAATGCTGTTGTGTGTAATGTGTTTTTATGATCATAAAAATCTCTTTTTTCTATATTTAATACTATTACTATTAATACATTGCAATAATAATTATGATTCACATGATTAACAATAAAGCGATTACTTACTTTTAAATCCTTATATATGTTTTATTTAATTATTTTTTATTCACAACGCCCTATCACCAGGGTGACGGTTCTGTTCAGGAGAATTTTTTTAAATACGTAGGCAAAAAAACTGCCGCATTATAAATCTTTTTGACAGGACGAAGTCTGTCGGGTCAGCTAGTATTCTATAAATGTAAATAATTTAATATACAGTAGACATGATGTTGCAATAATGTAATGGAAATAAGAATGGCAGGTCATGAATGCCTTGGTGCATTCTATGTTATATAATCTTTATCCTTGTTTTTTTTAATATATAGAAGATGACAATGAACAGCCCACTGAAGGTGAAGAGGAAAAAGAGGCTGTCACATATCAAATCAATAATGAGGTAATTTTGCCTACATTTCTAAATCCACAATTTTGTAAAAGTATTGCTAATAAAGTCTCCCATGTATTAAATAAACTACACATAATTACATATATAATACTTAGTTTATTATTTCTGACTTACCTAATAAAAAGACTACAAATCTAATGTACACAAAAAATATATAATTATATATATGCCTGAGTGAAATTGGACCTGACTCAGTCAATGGAGTATTTTCTCTGGTCTGGGTCTTGTATTAATTTAATTTGAGATCTGAGCAATTTATGTGATGTTGTCTAATATTTATTTATGTTTATTTATATGTCTTATTATATTTTAATGCTCGACCCCGTTCGATATGAATATCTAAAGACAATTTAAATTTTCTTCAGAAAAACAACACAAGGAATAGTTTCTAAATTGTAAAATAACTTTGACAGGTCCACTTCACATCTCCTCGTGTGGCTGCCTTTGTCTGTGTTAAGAGAGGTGCTGTTATTGAAGCAGACAAGTCTATTCATAGTCAGCTACGTCTCATCAACTTGTCTGATGGCTCCCCTTATGAAACATTGCATGCCTTCATCAGTAAAACTATGGCACCTTTCTTCAAAAGTTATGTCAAAGAAAGTGGCAGAGCTGATAGGTATGTTAAATTACATTATGTTGTGTAGGAATAACCACACAATTCAAGAAAATGCATTAAACACATAACATTCACTTTAAGTCTGACCTTGCTAATATAATGATAATATACTCTTTTTACTTAAGATAACTTTTCATTTCACACTTAATAATTTTTAATACAATTATCACAAATAATGATAGAATACAATGAAGAACAAATCCTAAAAACATTATGCAATCAATGGTCATACTACCTCATTTGCTAGATTATTTTTCCTGAATTTCTAGAATATTGTGTTAAATTTAAATTAGTTGCCTTAAAGTTATTTGAGAAAGTAACTGAAATATTACCATCCCTATGTATGAGCTTGAATTAAAGCATGAGCCTAATTTTATAGAGATGGAGATAAAATGGCGCCATCTGTGGAGAAGAAAATAGCTGAACTAGAGATGGGTCTTTTACATCTTCAACAAAACATTGACATCCCAGAAATCACATTGCCAGTGCATCCCTTAGTTGCAGCTGTCATCAAAAGGTAGCTTCTTTATTCACTCAGTTGTCTGTTTATCCATCTATTACAGCTGAGTTTCCAAAACTACAAGACCGATCGAGTTGAAATGGTACACATGTGTAAATTGGTGGCCCTAAGGGTTGATACATCCATAGTGAAACTTCAGAACTGACATAATGTATAACAATCTACCTTATATACTCAATGTATGATTTGTTCGCCTACTAACACATGCTGTTGTGACAGACTTGACGAATTCTGTCTTTCAGATTTGCTCCTAACCATATAAAATGGAAATGTATTTTAGAAATGGATGCATCTTTTGGAATGTAAAAAAAAAACAAAAAAGTTCTATAAACTATAATATGTGACAAATAAAATTTGGTATGTTCATGAAAATGCTTTTAGAAAAGGCTATGGGATTCAACATATAATTTCAACTAGGCATAATTAGATTATTCTTGGCCCAATAATTTGAAAAAAAAAACAGAAATAGTTCTTTACCTATCACAGGAAAATCTAATAGAAAGAAATCTATGGCTTTTAAAATTTATGCAGAACCTATGATGCGCCAGTACAACTTGTGTATGCTGATTTTAGTCTTTTTCTCTTGACTTACAAAGCCTACATACAGTTTACAGCATGTCATCTTACTACAAAGACTTATATACAGAATTTTATTTGATTATCCTAACCCGATAGCAGTTGTCCTTTTGTCATAAGTGAAAAGATTCCTAGTTTTGCTTTATATGCATACACTCAAAAACTTTCAACAACAGAATCCCATATTATTGTTTAGTAAAATTGACTATATTTACCATGGAAATAGAGAAAGTAGAATGCGAGTCTTAGTAAAATCATATTTTGAGCTACTAATATTATTTGACAGAGCTGCTGATGAAGGTCGTAAGCCTCGCGTAGCTGACTTTGGAGATAAAGTTGAGGACTCCACATTTCTCAATCAACTACAGAATGGAGTCAACCGATGGATCAAAGAAATTCAGAAAGTACGATTTCCTTTTATATTCATCCCATAATTATATTTATACAATAAAACCCAACTAATATCACGAGGATCATCAGTTACCAAGCTAGCCTACTTATCTATTCTAATAAAGAACATATATTTAAAATTACAATCAATCTTTTTTCAATGAACATAAGGTATAAAATGCAACACACTTGATTTCTTAGTCTCAGTTAAGTTTGATTAGCCAGGATTTGCTGATTGTCTAAATTTAACCTACTGTGTAAGTACATGGACAAGGCATATTACTTGTGATTTAAGACAGCAAACCTATCATGCACAATGAACTGATTGAAGCATCTAAATGGAGAAAATTGGAGCCCTCTAAGCTAACCTAGTTGTCATTTAATGTTGGTATTTATTTTGAACATTATCAATAAAAATATTCACTTTCAGGTTACAAAACTAGACAGAGATCCATCTAATGGAACAGCACTGCAAGAAATCTCTTTCTGGCTGAACTTAGAAAGAGCTCTCCATCGCATTCAAGAGAAACGGGAAAGCATCGAGGTATGTAATAAATGATGAACAATGTAATTATATTTTAAAGTCAAAGAATCATGTCCACTTTCTATACATTGATTGATCTGTCACTTGTTTTTTTTTTTAAAGGTCGTATCTATCTACTATTAGTGATAATTTAAATTAGTTTTTAATTAAAATAGAATAATATCTAAGCATCTTTTCATCTGGAGGCCAGGAAGATTCGTAATATGTAAATGATGTAATATTTTTCCATAGTAGACAAAACATAACAATTTTTATCCTGACTTTATTTAAAGATTTAATACTATGAATTATGTAAAAATAAGCTACATTATGAGATATATCACATCACTAGACGCGTTAGTAAATTTTTAGGTCAAAATTAGACATTCTTTACTAAACTTCAAATATTTTTGCAGGTGGCATTAACACTAGAAATCCTCAAGTATGGCAAACGGTTTCATGCGACGGTGTCTTTTGATACCGACACTGGCTTAAAGCAAGCACTTGCTACTGTATCAGACTACAACCCGCTGATGAAAGATTTTCCCATCAATGACCTTCTCAGTGCTACTGAACTGGAAAGGATTAGGTATAAAAACTATAAGTCGATATCACATTCATGTAGTTACTATTTTACAAACTTATTTGTTAATGCTTTTTTACAGATTAGCAGTGCAGCAAATATTTTCCCATCTGCGCAAGATTCGCTCTACTAAGTATCCCATTCAGCGTGGCTTGAGACTTGTGGAAGCAATCTCCCGGGATCTTGGACAACAACTTCTCAAGGTTATTTTTTTTTATTTAGTACTGATGACGACTGAAAAATAAATATCTACCAACCACCAGTAGCTCAGTGCGGTTTGGTAGGTATTAACGACGCGTCTGCAGTCTTGCCGTGCCTTTCAAAGCACGGAGGAATTCGTGACCATTGCCGAACTTGAAGCTCCTCATATCACCTGAGCTGTCTGTTGCAAACAATCTATATTTTTATCAATATTATATCCATATTATTATATGTAATAAATTTTCCAGGTGCTGGGCACTAGAAGGCTGATGCATATACCGTTTGAAGACTTTGAACGTGTCATGACGCAATGCTTCGAGGTATTCTCTTGCTGGGATGATGAGTACGAGAAACTTCAAGGACTTTTACGGTATTTATTTTTGAAATTTTATTAAATCTAAGTTGTGAATTAATAAATTTTATTGTATTCTATAAAGTAAAACTTATTTAATATGACCATGTATATCACACAGATATTTATTATTTCACTAAGGGTTTTCTTTAAAGATTATGATTCTGATTTAATACCTTGAGTGATGTGATAAATTGAGCTGTTTTAATTTTATATCTTTATAGTGATATTGTGAAAAAGAAACGTGATGAACATCTGAAGATGGTATGGCGTGTTTCACCCTCCCATAAGCGGTTACAAGCGCGCATGGAACACATGCGTCGATTCCGTCGTCACCATGAGCAACTACGTACCGTCATGCTTAGGGTAAGCAGTATAACACTTTATTTGTAAACACTAAAAAAAAAAACACGAGAAAGCAAAACAATCAAAATGTGTCTTATGGACCACTGTATGGATTTTTAGAAAGCTAGATTATATATGTTATCATCATCATCACTAGCCTAGAAATCTGTCCCCACTGGAGTCCAGCTAGGGTACAATATAATAGGAAAGATAGACAATAACGGGCCCAGTGCGGGATTCTAGATGTCAATCAATGACTGCAGTTGTGACCAGGACCAATAACTTAATACACCTTCTGAAACACAGAGAGATTTATTAATAAATTTTTACTCGCCCATTTTATATAATATAGTATAGAATTCTATATTATGTATATAGAATGGGTACTGCACCATCATTATAGTACATTATTACTAATGTAATGAGATAAAAAAAAGTTTAAACGCAAATTAATTTACATAATTCTAGTTCATAGTTTAACTTTGAAAAAATCTTATACAGGGTTATTAGTAAAACGCGCGTAAATAAACAATTACGAACTTTTGACATTGGATGACGTCACATACATTCCACAAAGACTATGTAACTGATCAATCTTGATTTTTCAAAATGAATCCTTGAATGATCTATCATATCCTGCAAGGGGTCCGTCGTGAAGATAAATATAGAGGCACAATAATACAGTAGCGTTATAACATAAGGTACTTCGCCCTCGAGCCACGGTAGCCGCTGAAGCAGGAGCGGGCAGTGAACCAGCTCAGCCACACTCTCTGCCCATGGACGCTGCCGATGCTAACGCCATCGCTGAGGTAATCATTTATTTTTTTACTTTAAAAAGCAATTTCAACAAACCTTATTGAAGAACTGATATTCGCTTGAAACAGACAAGTCTTAGTGAGATTCAGAAGAAATTTAATTAATTGGTAATTAACATCATTGAAAACTTTTATAATCTGTAATAGTGACTATTTCCATAGTATTTTTTTAAAGCAAAACTGTTATCTATTGTTACTGGTACTTATGGCTTTTTGAACTAAGTTACCCATTGATTACCAAAGCCTTTGTTTCATCAGAACTGCATACGACTTTAAGTAAATTCTTGATTATTACTAAGTCTTAAGTGATGTGTATTAATAATGCGAGGATTTTCATTAGCAATCGTAGTTAACTAATGCATAACATCGACTAAACTCCCACGACCTTCTCTACAAGTTATCTTACTCGTGAACAGGTCAACTTGGCATATGAAAACGTGAAGGAGGTCGACTGTTTAGATATCTCACGTGAAGGCTGCGATGCATGGGAAGCAGCTGTACGCCGTTATGAAGACAGAATCGGTATGTAAATGATATTTATCAATGTACAAATAATATAAAAAGGTAAATTTCTAACTTGGTTTGTTTGCGAAGCTTCCAAAACACTGAACCGATCATGGAAATTCTTTCGCGAACTGGAAACTACATCATACATAGGTGGTGTCACATCATAGCTACAGTCCGAAGAAAGCAGCTATTAGAAAGCAAACTTATAAGAACATACAAAATGAAAAAGATTGACCATTGATTGGTTACTCGACTACTGAAGCTATCCCTATTTTTTTTATTATTAATTAGATGCAGATGATACTTTTATGTTGTTTTACTCTACACTTAATTTTACTCAGATCGAGTGGAGACTCGCATCACTGCTCATCTACGGGACCAGCTGGGTACGGCGAAGAACGCCAACGAAATGTTCCGCATATTCTCGCGGTTTAACGCGCTATTTGTTCGGCCTCATATTCGTGGCGCCATACGCGAATATCAAACCCAACTCATACAACGTGTCAAAGACGACATAGAAACACTTCACGAAAAGTTTAAGGTGATTGGCCGTATGTTTGATAATAACCGAACCAATGAACTGGTGGGCAAAATATTTTTTAGTTACTCAGGCTAAAAAATATTTTGCCCACAAGTTCAAAATATTTTATGTTGTCATAATAAGGATATGACTACAAATCGAAGATTTAAATATATTTTGATGGTATATAAAAATAAAATAAATATTTTTTCAATCACTTTCCTTGACTGTTAGCCAATGTCTATCTCTAATGATTATACATAGTAAAGTTTAGGACAACTTTAAAACATTCGATCCCCGAAGTTATATCCATATTAACATATACGGGTAAGGTCTGAAGTAGCTCAATTGCTATTGATGATTTCCGGCATATAAGAATTCTTACGCTATGTAAGAATAGAAATTCAGCCAAACAGCTATCTATTTATTAACCGTTTCATTATCTATCAAATTTTGATGACATTTTGCAGTCTACCTGAGATATCACTTAGATAATTTTATTTATCTGGTAATTTTTCTCTCTGTTATTTTTATATTTTATTGTATAGGTGCAATACCCTCAGTCAAAATGCAGCCGTCTGTCTCTGGTGCGTGATTTACCACCGGTAGCTGGTTCCATTATCTGGGCGAAACAGATCGATCACCAACTTACTGCTTACTTGAAGAGAGTTGAGGATGTTCTTGGTAAGATTTAACCATTTTAATGATATCCAACTAGTTTCTTTTCCATTTTCTAATTCTAATTTATTATCATCAACTAAATATGCATTATTTTGTTTAAATTGTTGATTGATTCAAAGTCGCTCTGCAGGCAAGGGTTGGGAGAATCACATAGAAGGTCAGAAGCTGAAAGCTGACGGTGACAGCTTCCGTCTCAAATTGGACACTCAAGAAGTTTTCGATGATTGGGCTCGGAAAGTAAGTTATATTCGAAATACCGATATTTAACACAGATGACGCCTTTTGATAAAAATGTTAAGATAACTGTAATGATATTCTTTATAACTGTTGTTATAATAAAATTTCGTAATTTTTAGGTGCAACAACGCAATCTCGGTGTGACTGGTCGAATCTTCGCTATTGAGTCTGTGCGAGCTCGTTCCAGCAAAACTGGAACTATTCTGAAATTGAAAGTTAACTTCCTTCCGGAAATTATCACTCTATACAAGGAAGTCCGCAATCTGAAGAACTTAGGATTTAGGTGACTGAATGATATATAAAATATATATTTTAGCGCTTTATAAACCAATAAAGTAACGTCTTATTCTTACTGTACTTTAAGCGCTCTTAGATGCAAAATATTAAATGTGGCTCAATAACGCGCTTACAAGGCATTTAGAATAAAAAAATATTATTCAAGAAACATTGATAATTTAACTACCACAATAAATTCAGGTACAAATCATACAGCCAATATAACATCAATTTTCTCCTAGAAATAATAACTTACCTTAAATACTAAGTTAAGGACAAATAACTAAATATAAGACATCCCCCAGTTGCACAAACATCCATTGAAATTGAAATTAGTTTTAAAGCAATATTACCAATACAAATTAATAACATTCATTACGGCTTAAAGTCTTCATTAAAGCTTACTGGACGATAGTGTAACTGGTTAATTATTACATACGTTGCTCAAAAGAGGAGTAGCTATAGCTCCCGCACATCAAAGATATCACAAAACCCGGACCAGATACACAGAATAGTCCATTTTCTACACTGATCAGACCGGGAATCGAACCCTTTAACTAACTTTAATGGGTATATCTGTGTTTACCGGATAGAAATCAGTTATAATAAATTTCTGGAATTATTAAATCTACACAGAGTTCCATTGGCGATAGTCAACAAAGCTCACCAAGCCAATCAACTGTATCCATTCGCTATCTCGCTCATCGAAAGCGTTCGAACATATGAACGTACCCTGGAAAAGGTATGTATCTCTTGAATATATTCCGAACCATACCACACAATGACACTTCACAAACATTTCAGCACGATAATTATAATAACAAGCACACACACTCACTAAAATAAACTATTACACTATAAATACACTTAGCTATTTGAAACAAATGGAATGTATATGTAACGTCACTAACACGAGTGCGTTTTATTTGTGCAGCTAAATAATAGGAACCATACTAAGGTAGTTTTACTATACTCTGCATGGTTCCAGACTCCTGTATTATATTGTCTGCCTCTTTAGTTGAATGCACTTTTATTGTCTATGTAACTTATGAGATAAAAAAAAAACCATAAATAAATGGTCATACATATGGAACCCAAAGAATGCTTACATTCGTTTATTTTAAGCTTCAACTTATTGCTGGTTAAATATATGAATGTTTATAATACATGTTGTATGGTATCATCTACTGTTCCCAACAATGTCGCTTAAACAATTTGCTTTTCCCATAGATGTTTTTATTTCTATAATAATATATCCTATATCAATTTCCCCTAATATACGGAGCAATATTTCCTTATTGTTTACTTAATTTTATTGGGATTTTTAGTAACACTTATTATATTTTCTAGATTCGTGACAAAGCATCCATTATCCCGCTAGTGGCTAGCTTACGACGGGACGTCCTCAATCAAGTCTCCGAGGGTATGGCGCTTGTATGGGAGTCATACAAACTTGATCCTTATGTGCAGAAGCTTAGCGAAGTAGTACTTTTGTTCCAAGAAAAGGTAAAAACTCCGCGAACTTCGTGCTGTCGTATTAAAATAGAACATAAATAACTAGCTGATTAATATAGCGATGAACATTATTTTTTTCTGTCCATCAGATAGATTATGAAAGAATATTAAACACACCTATTTATTTTTTGCATAATCAATAAATTAATTATTGTATTATTTATCTTACTGACAGATTAAATAGTTTGCTTTTTTTTACACAGGCATAATCCCTATTGTAATTTATTATGTCTACACCATGAAAGTGAGCGTTTTCTTTTTTATTACAGGTGGAAGATTTATTAGCAGTAGAAGAACAGATTTCGGTGGACGCACGCTCGCTTGAAACATGCCCGTATTCGGCCACTAGTCTAGCGGATATACTAAGTCGTCTGCAACGAGCCATCGACGATTTGTCGCTACGACAGTACAGCAACTTGCATCTGTGGGTTCAACGTCTGGATGAAGAGGTTAAACAAATCAATCAATCAAATTCAATCTATTCATTTAATATGTATAATATAAATAATAATGGCTTATTACCTTGAGTAGTTTTTAGTAGCAGAACTTTTGAATTATTATTTTGAATATTTTCTTTTTATTAAATGAGGGATTGTAATGTTTAGAGACTTTATAAAAACGATGCAAAACAGGTCGAGAAGAGTTTGGCGGCTCGTTTGCAAGCTGGCGTGGAAGCGTGGACCGCGGCTTTGCTCGGCAAAATCAACGAGCTCGACTTGTCTATGGACACATATTCCCCTGCAGAACCTACTCATAAGCCTGGTGGTGAACCGCAGGTACGATGTAAATTATTAATTTTATTTCATGTATAATTATCAACCGATGTGATGCAAACTCTCTTAGTCACCATCTATTGAAAATGCCTTTTATTTAAAACTACGCTCTGATCCGTTTTAATCCGTAGCGTACTAGATAGCGCAGGCTTTTGCTGACTGACCAGTATGTCATTCTATTCAAAGTTACCTAGTACGAATCGAATTCGTATTGAGCTCATAACATCAAACTTTGTTTGCATAGCGCAACCTACTAACACCAAAATAAAAAGGAATCCCTACCCAAAAAATATATTAATATTTGTATGTTAATAGTTATAATTTCAATGGTTATTATATCATATTACGTAAAGTTTTACATAATAAATGCTAAAAAGGATATCGTTCTTGGCACCATATACAATGCTTTAAATTTAACTATACTACTGCATTTAAAACGATATTATGATGATGTCTCCTTAGATTGCTCGCGTAGTACACGAGGTGCGCATCACCAATCAGCAAATGTATCTTTTCCCGTCTTTGGAAGAAGCTCGTTTCCAACTCATGCGACAGATGTTCGCATGGCAGGCTATCGTTACTTCTCAACACCGATTGCAAAGCACCAGGTACTAAGTTGCCCATATTCCATTTTTAAATTAATTTCGTGTTATCCAGAACCTGTAATAATAAATGTGAAATAGCACATGATAACAGATCCACAACTATCTATCAGCATAAGTTAACAGCAAGAATAAATCCTAACTTAAGATGGCTTTAAAATGCTTCATACCAATTATTGCCGGACACATACTCCATAAGTTTTTGCCGTTTTTTGTTTTGTTTTTACAGATAATAGACCTTATATAAAACAGATTTCAGTAAGAACTTTTTTCGTTCAAGAATATGATTATTTCCCAACAGTTATCAAATGAAATATGTATTTCTCAACAGATACCAAGTGGGTGTTTCTCGTGCACAGACCGCCACTTACAGGAACTTATTGACTAAGTTACCAGGAGGTTCGTCTCCCTTGGAAAATGCATACGATGCCATCGAACAGAAGATCTCACAAGTTCGCGAATATGTGGATGAATGGCTACGGTTTGTATACATTAATAATCGTTAGGTTTGATTCCTTCATGGTGAGAGACTGATTTTGTGGCTCATAACTAATATTCACTACTTATAAGGAGGAAGGAAAAAAAGGTACATACACATCTTTTTCTCTTGAACCTGGTAGATATTTTAGTATGTAATAATCAATTATATGTATTTTTTCTGAAGATATACATTAATCTGGACATTCCTTCGGAATTGATTGATTATTAAGAAATGTTTAAATAGTTTTGACACCTTGCTTTCAATTTTGAATTAAGTAACAATAAATAATATTCAGTAGAATAATAATATCACTACCAACATAAATAATATTCAATAGAATGTTTCTTATCTATAATATGGGAAAAATGTCTTATCCAGGTTTTTTTTTATTTTTATGAACAAGTACACCAAAAATTAATCTACTATTCCGATTACTGATTACTTTCCTACTAGTTAGATTCCTCTTAAATAATAGGTTTTTATATTTTTTTGTATTGCTTTATTGGAATTGAAAATTTTCTCAACACATGAAATGAAGAAAATAGTACAAATATTATTAAGCTTTGAGCAAAAGAAAAACTATTATATTTATTCTTATACAGCTATCAAGCTTTATGGGATCTGCAGCCTGAAAGTCTGTATGGACGACTCGGAGAAGATATCACTTTGTGGATCAAATGCTTGAATGATATCAAGTAAGTAATTATTGAGATATAATTTGTATTCATCCCCCTTAATAAATGAGAATGGAATTGAATCGAAAACTAGATACAACTGTGTTATAAGAATAATTTTTCATCTTTTTTTCTCTACTTATCTGAGGTGCCTTTAGAATAGTTGAACAAAAATAGTTTACAACTGCAGATGCAACGGGGACCAACGTCTTGACTTGTCTTCTGAAGCACGGAAAAGTGCAAATTTAACAAATTTTTAATCACCCATCCTATGACCAGCCACTGCGAAAATTGCTTAACAGCCGAATCGCATAGAACATACTAAGCTCGTCTCAACGCCATTGAGCTACTCATTATTTTTATTGTTCCTATACAATCCAGTTATTTAAAAATTTCTAATAATCCGACATGCTCTAAATTTTTAAAGCGAAGGAGTGGAGGCTTAATAATTTTTTTTATAAAGGAAATCGCGCACTACGTTCGACACGTCTGACACACGCCGTGAATATGGGCCAGTAGTGATCGACTTCGCTCGCGTGCAGAGTAAAGTAGCACTTAAGTACGACGCGTGGCACAAGGAAGTACTCGGCAAGTTCGGAGCCCTACTCGGCGGCGAAATGGTGCAGTTCCACTCGCGACTCGCCAAGTCGCGCGGCCAGCTAGAACAGCAGACTATAGGTCAGTGATGTCATTATACTGAGTCTAACAATATTTTTTCAGTATAGGTACTAATCTTAAACACGATTTCTATAATATTTGTGATCTTTATAACATGTACTTAAAGAGGACAGAACAGTATACAAATGGCGGCCTTATTGCTTTGTACAATATTTTTACTGTAGGTTTATGGTTGATCAATAATTTATATTTTAATTAAGAACTATCGATGTTATTGTACAACTTCGAGATAAATAATGTGCATCAACTAACTTCATGTTTCTGAAGATGATTCTATATATACTGTTCTTTCACAGTTGAAAACATAACAACAAACGATGCGGGGTTATATACGCTTAGTATAGTTAAGAAACAGTAGCGCACTTCCTGCTTTCAATACTATCAGCAACTGAAATATCAATGAGACCGTCGCTTCACTCGCACGGTTTTACAACTACTTTTTTCTTAAAAAATGATGTTGATATTTATGTTTATTGTAAATAATAAAGTTAAAGTTGGATATTGAATGATTTTAATGGTCAAACTTCTTTGTCTTTATATTGTCAGTTTTTTTTTTTGATGCCCATTATTTATCTTGAAGTACTGTACATTTGTTACTAGATCGTTTAGTACAAGTATAGCGATTGATCACTCCGTCGGCGCAGTACTGAACGTGCTTATTTGTTTCCTAATAGTGTACGCGTGCGCAAGTGTTCGACTGACGGACGATCATCTTACGAAGTGTGTATAATGCGCGGCACGTGCGTTAAATTTTATATCAATATACGAATGCGTACGGTCAATCCAACATCGTGAGGTGTTTGAATTTTCATATAAATGACAAACGCGACTGACGTACGCACCGAATCGGTTGAGCACTACAACCGACCTAAAAAAACAAACAGCCCGCAAATTAGTACACAGCCCAATAAGATTACTGTAGAGTAATTAAACTTTTATGTCAATACAGAAGCTGCATCGACCAGCGACGCTGTATCTCTTATTACATACGTGCAACAGCTCAAGAGAGAAGTTCTTGCATGGGAAAAGCAAGTAGATGTCTACCGCGAAGCTCAACGCATATTGGAACGTCAAAGGTATTTTGACTTGGAACTAATCGGGCTTTTATTATTTATATGACGGTGAGATTTATACTGCATTGTTTGTAACAGATTCCAGTTTCCGGCTCAGTGGCTGCACGTAGATAACATCGAAGGGGAATGGAGCGCTTTCAATGAAATAATGCGTAGAAAAGATTCGTCTATTCAAACCCAAGTAAACAGTTCATATATAATATTTACATTAGTAGTGAAATAAGATCTACAATATAATTTACAGTATGCTTCAAATAACTGCAGGTCTTAAGCTAGTCGCGAGAAGCATTGCACAAACCAGTTTTTAGGTCTGAGCGCGGTTATGGTTGTGATTTGACATTTTATGGTAGTGAATGTGTATACTAAGGTTAACAACATGTCTCAGTATAGTCATTTTATTTCGATGTTTTTTTTTCATAGGTGGCGTCCCTGCAACAGAAGATAGTAGCCGAAGATAAAGCTGTAGAGACTCGCACGTCAGAGTTTCTGAGCGAGTGGGAGCGCAGCAAGCCTACTGATGGCTCCACGAGACCTGAAGATGCACTGGCTCGTCTGCAAGCGATGGAGGCACGATATACACGCTTGAAGGATGAGCGTGATAACGTTGCCAAGGCTAAAGAAGCATTGGAACTTCACGACACAGGTCATTGATCTAATATCTTAAACATATACTCAAGGTTTTGGAGAGATCACAGAATGCTCTTAGTGTTTTGTGACTTATTCAAGGCATTTGAATTTGAACGTAGACATTGTCCTACATCTAACACTAACAGCTCCAGAACACAAATTCACAAGTGAAAATGGGGTTTACCCAAGGACCTATTCTGGGTCCCTTTCTGTTTTTAATACTTTATACAACCACATAAAATAATTTGGTTTTCTTTGTCAAACTTTCTGCAACATGACTATGTTGCAGAAAGTTTTGATGTTCAATTGAAATTTTTCAATCGAACCAGTAGTTCCTGAGATTAGCGCGTTCAAACAAACAAACAAACTCTTCAGCTTTATAATATTAGTAAAGATAAATAGACAAACTCTTTTTCTACATACAGGTACTTCAGTAAACAACGAGCGCATGACAGTGGCTTTGGAAGAATTGCAAGATTTGCGTGGTGTGTGGTCTTCGCTTAGTAAGATCTGGACTCAGATCGATGACATCCGAGAGAAACCGTGGTTGTCTGTTCAACCTAGGAAACTACGGTAGATACTATCTTATTGCTTAGTTATTTTTAACGGAAAATCTACGCAATCTATAGAAAATTCATCAGAGCATAGCATATTAAACAATAGTTTGCAAGCTAACATTATTCAACAGATTACACACAAGTAAAATTTTACATATGCCCCGCAGATTTCTTAACGATCGAAAATATGATAATAGCTATCATGTTTGTAATGTAATATTTTTGTTTAGGTAGATACTTATACTTAGATGAAAATGCAGAAACAAAAAGATAGTTCGAATCTCGTCTCGAGTATACCTTTGTAGTTCATAAAGTATTTTTCTGTAAAATATGTAATGAGATCCATTTTTTAACAGGCAACAACTCGAAGCCATGCTTAACGAATTGAAAGAGCTACCAGCTCGCCTTCGTATGTATGACAGCTATGAGTACGTTCGCAGACTACTGCAATCCTACACCAAGGTACGTCGAGACGATGTATAATATCCGTTACGTTATTTTTAAATATAATATGATTTTTAAATAGCAAACACACTCACATGCTTATAACCTAAAAAATGGATGAAAATGGATCTATAAACGAATGGGCTACCGCCCACACCTCTTCTTACCGCAGGTCTTTTATAAGTTACATCGATGCACCTGGGCAGAAGTTTAATTTTTCAATCATAACCTTTTTAATTTTGCCAATCGTAACGCTACGCGTTGCCCCATTAATGCCCGCGTCGTATTATGCCACAATCACAAGCTTTAGACACTTTGAGTTGAATCTTCACGTAACCTTTAAAGTTTATTTGGACTGGACTTTACACATTATATTGCTAAAGCGTCGGTATTAATATTCCGTCTGCTGCTTCGCATTTGCGCAGGCACATTTTCTCGTTGCAACTTATAAATACAGAAGTACCGTAAGCGTGTATTCAAAGTTAATTCAAAATGTTAATACGACTCTTTTCAATAGTCAAGTGATTGGCCTCCACTCTGTAGTTTTTCCTCTCCTACCCATTCCCGAATATTTATTTACTAACGCCAGTCATTTGTACCAGGTGAACATGTTGATAGTGGAGCTAAAATCGGACGCGCTAAAAGAGCGCCACTGGCGTCAACTGTGTAGAGCACTGAAGGTGGACTGGTCGCTGTCCGAGTTGACACTGGGGCAAGTGTGGGACGCCGATCTGTTGCATAATGAGCATACTGTCAAAGATGTCGTCTCTGTCGCACAGGGTGAGATGGCCCTCGAAGAATTCTTGAAACAGGTGCGTTGACTATTATCTTCCCGATTTTCTCAAATTTTAAAATCAAATTAAGTTTAAACTAGAGATTAGATTGAATATCTCAAAGTAGTATTAAACTGTGAACTTTTAAATTAACAAACTATTTGATATATTATTGTTTTGGAAAAGTGAATATTTTAGAAGTATCTCAAAAGTTCGATAGTTTGGTTGGGGTATGAGCTATATTTCATTTGAAAAAGCAATCAATAAACTGGATATGTTAAAATCCATGTTGGAAACTAATTAAAACATTTTTTTCTCTAGGTTCGCGAGTCGTGGCAGAGCTACGAATTAGATTTGATCAACTATCAGAACAAGTGCAAGATAATACGCGGTTGGGATGACCTCTTCAACAAAGTCAAGGAGCACATCAACAGTGTCGCTGCGATGAAACTCTCACCTTATTACAAGGTAATGCATTTTAGCAAGTAAATTATATGTATTTTAGTCTAGTTTTTCCAATCCTGTGCTTGTCTGCTGGATATCCGCAGTTGTAATGGCGAATATGTGCTACCGGAATCCCAACTAAATAGTGTCTTACTTTAAGACATAAAGCTCCTCGTTATAAAGTTATGAACTTGGTTGATACGTTTTTAGCCATAAAAATGAAATAGCATGTGCAATAGGGTATTTGACAGTTTTCTATTTTAAATTATCGTTTGAGACATTATAAACACAGTGTCAATATATTTCATAGGAATCTGTTCTATTTGCGACAAAAATTATTATTAAAGTTTAAATAGCAAAATACGCTGCTCTATGTAATAGCTCTGATAACGTGATATTTGTGACGTCACACGCCGTTAAATACGTCAAAGCAACATAACACATTTATCAACTATTTATTTACGAAGTAAACAAATAATATTACAGGAGAGAAATTGAGGTTAAACTTGTTCGTACTCTGGTTTTGTTTATAAAAATGAGCTACAAATTGTATATATATAAATTTTGCGTATCTTTAAAACACTGCCTTAATATGGCAGCTTCCTGTTTACGTGTGGCGCCACACGCCGGTAAACGGAAACCAATTACACGTTTTCGTCGTTCATTTAAATTCCTAAAAATGTTGCATTTTCTTTATGTTATTTTACTAAAGCTTATCATATTTTGTCTGCAGATTAAAAAAAAATAAACTTATCTAACAGGATGACCACAACCTGCTATTTATTTTCAATAGTGTCAAATACCCTGTTATGCATAGAAGACATCTATTAACAGAATCTATTTACTGTGACAGGATAATAATTTATTAAATTTTCTATGACTCGTTAGGTATTCGAAGAAGAAGCCCTGACTTGGGAGGAGAAACTGAATCGTATCAACGCGCTATTCGACGTTTGGATTGACGTACAACGTCGCTGGGTATACCTAGAGGGGATATTCAGTGGTTCAGCTGACATTAAGACTTTATTGCCGGTGGAAACCAGCCGTTTTCAGAGTATCAGGTATAAAATTTTATACATTCAAAGAAATAAAGTTATTTCAACAGGATTCTTTTTGCGCAATTTAATTTATTGTTTCTTCATAGCTCTGAATTCCTGGGATTGATGAAGAAAGTGAGTAAGTCACCGATGGTAATGGATGTTCTGAATATACCGGGCGTTCAGCGGTCATTGGAGAGGCTCGCAGACTTATTAGGCAAGATACAGAAGGCGCTCGGTGAATATCTAGAACGAGAGAGAAGCAGCTTCCCGCGGTAAATAATACGTTTTACGTCACTCCCAACTATATTGCCTTTAAGTTTTGTGTTATAAAAATACGTTTCTTGAATTTTGCCAGGCCAAGCTCCGTTTAACACGATAGAATACAGATTTGAATTCCTGCGATACCGTGACGTCTCGTTGGTTACGATTCGTACGACAGTTGTAAACCTTAACGTAATATATTTAAGTCTATATTTCATAGGTACCATCAATTATAGCTCCTGCGCAGGCAAATAAATAATAACTACCGCTACACTGTCTTTGTAAATCAATTATTAATTGATTATGTTAATTATGCACGTATGTTAAATTAATAATATTTGCATTACACGTAATATTTCAGCTTCTACTTTGTGGGTGACGAAGATTTGCTTGAAATCATCGGCAATAGCAAGAACATCGCGCGATTACAGAAACATTTCAAGAAGATGTTTGCCGGCGTCGCCGCCATTATACTCAACGAAGACAACACCGTCATCAACGGCATAGCTTCTAGAGAGGGAGAAGAAGTGAGTTGTTTTTAAAGGATGTAAGAAACGTGCAATGTTGTAAGATACTTTTCACCTTTACATATAACTAAGGTTATTAAGTTTCAGAAACTTCACTAGGTTGAAGTTTTCATGAACATTAATTTTCTTATAAAGCCTCTTATATTCTTTATTATAAATTGGATAAAATATTGCATGATTTCAACCTTTTTTTCCAGGTGTATTTCACATCACCGGTATCTACAATAGAGAACCCGAAGATCAACTCATGGTTGTCTATGGTCGAACGTGAGATGCGCGTGACATTGGCTTGCCGTTTGAAAGACGCAGTGGGTGACGTGAAACAGTTCAAGGATGGAAACGTTGATCCACAAAAATTCATCGAATGGTGTGATAAGTACCAAGTAAGTAATGATATGGTCAACAAGTATATTTAATAAATATAATTCCATCTTTAGTTGAATTAAAAATGTTCTGTAGCGTACTGTTTTCTGTTTTATGCAGAAACTATAAGGTTTATAATGGATTTTTTAAATTATCGCCTATGTTATAATTAAGATAAAGAACACCCAAGGTCAGTTACAAATAAGGATTCTATTCCTAGGCCCAAATCGTGGTGTTAGCTGCTCAGATCCTATGGTCTGAAGATGTAGAAGCTGCTTTAGCCAGTGGTGGGGGAGATGGTCTGAAGCGAGTGCTAGCACACGTCGAGAATATGCTCAACATATTAGCTGACTCCGTACTTCAAGAACAACCACCACTTAGAAGGAAGAAACTCGAACACCTGGTAAGAAAAAAAATAGACAGAAAGATTATATTTATGTTCTCGAAACATGTTATTTTTATATCTATACAAAAAATAAATAAGTTAAAACTAAGAAGTTGATGCGTGCCAAATTGAAGTTTTGAAGCAGTTCTCTTTTGAACTCAGTTAGTGATATTATAATTGTAATTTTTGTTAGATCAATGAATTCGTGCACAAACGTACGGTGACTCGTCGACTGATCGCATCGGATGTGAACAGCCCACGTAGCTTCGAGTGGCTCTGCGAAATGAGATTCTATTTCGACCCTAGGAACAATGATGTAAGTAGAAAATAAACCTTTTTTTTTAAATAACATTAAATTTGCCTGCAACATAGCAAAGTCTAATTTAGCGTTTTGATTTATGCCAAATACTCATAAAATTATGGAATTTAACACACCCTCTTACATTTAATATTCTAATAAAATTACCACATCTTACAGGCGAATAAAAAATGAACATTTCTTTTAACTTATTTTCATTTATATTTAGCACAGTTAGAAAAATTAAAGTTTGTAATCGTTAAAAACAATCGCTTAGGTACTACAACAACTGACCATCCACATGGCGAATGCCAAATTCCTCTATGGGTTCGAATACTTGGGGGTACAAGACCGCCTCGTTCAGACCCCGTTGACTGATCGCTGCTATCTGACTATGACCCAAGCTCTGGAAGCTCGACTTGGAGGATCGCCGTTCGGTAAGCTTATATTTTCATTATATCTATTCGGTACATTGTATTGTTACCGAACACCTAAACAGGTCTGACAGTGTGACTTCACTACTCTCAGAAACTTGTATTTTATAGTTTTAGTGCAATATCATTCACCGCCGAAAGCGCATCCACTCATTGACATTAATCATAATTGACAGTTTAAGTTTAAATATTTAGCAATAAACGTGTATTTTACTACGAAAGATTTTATCATTAATCGATTACTTCTATTTTTTGTTCGAAGCTAAAAATAAGTTGGTCCTTCGAGACATAACGTCTGGCGTGGGCGGTATTCATGCCTGAAATGCAAGGATATAGCAATTTTTTTTAACCGCCCTCTTTGGCTCCGAGAGATATGCGAGTGCTTAATTTGGCTACTCGACAATGATAACAACAATTTGTGAAATATGTTTGAAATAGCATTTAATTTTTTTTTTCAGTTAAAATGTGACGTTAACGGCTAGAAATATCACGTTTGTTGATTTCCAGGGACGATTTATATTAATGAATAAAGATATGTTTTTCTTTATTTAATAACACTTTTGAAAACAATATCTGATAGTGATTTAATAAATAATTATGAAAGTTAAAAGACTATCCCAAAACAGTCAAGTAGCCAAAAGAGATGATGGCTAAAGTATTTTGACTGTCCGTCAGATAGATTATTGAAGAATATTAAACATTTTTTATTTTATTTTTATCAATAAATAAAAAATAAATATTGAACACGTTTTTTTTTTGCGTAATCAATATATTACGGCGATTCATTGATAACACATGACGTCACGCATTTGTATATCTTTTACAAAACTGTGACGTAGCGAGCCCCCTCATCTCAACTTTAATGCCTGTGACTTAAACTATTTCTTGTTAACGGACTAAATAGAATTTCTTTTCTTTTTTACCTAGGCATCATCCCTATTCTGGTTTAGTAGTAGTAAAAATGTTAACTTGACGTCCAATTACTTACAGTAATCTTGATTAATATATGTACTTATATATTTTCATAGGTCCCGCTGGCACGGGTAAAACGGAATCAGTGAAAGCTCTGGGCAACCAACTTGGTCGGTTTGTTCTAGTATTCAATTGCGATGAAACCTTCGACTTCCAGGCTATGGGTCGAATCTTTGTTGGGTTATGCCAGGTATTATGATTATTTATATGATTGTTTATCTGTACCTATTTTATATTAATATGTAAATATACCATTGAAAATGTTTTTTCACAGGTCGGAGCCTGGGGTTGCTTCGACGAGTTCAATCGTCTCGAAGAAAGAATGTTGTCAGCTGTATCTCAGCAAGTTCAGACCATTCAAGAAGCACTCAAGAGCCATCAAGAGGGCGATAATACGGGTAAGTTACTTTAAACCATTAAATGGGCCTTGTTTAATTTGCCCAATTTAGCATTTATTTGGTGTGGTGGGAGTGGTCATAACAATGTAAACCGTTTGTTATAATCGGTGTATCAACTATTTATTCGCCAGGCAAATCGATATCAGTAGAACTAGTAGGCAAACAAGTCCGTGTAAGTCAAGACATGGCTATCTTCATCACTATGAACCCTGGTTACGCGGGCCGTTCAAACTTGCCGGACAATCTTAAGAAACTGTTCCGCAGTTTGGCTATGACGACGCCCGATCGACAACTCATTGCCGAAGTTATGTTGTTCAGTCAAGGATTCAGAACAGCCGAAAAATTGGCCTGCAAAATCGTGCCCTTCTTCAAGTAAGTTGACTGTTGTAGTGATTCTATTTCCTTTATATTTATTGAATGAAATATATTGATGATATTGTTTATTGTAGACTTTGTGATGAACAACTATCAAATCAATCGCACTACGACTTCGGCTTGCGAGCCCTAAAATCGGTGCTTGTATCAGCTGGTAACGTGAAACGAGATCGTATACAAAAGATTAAGGTAATATTATCTTTTATGTATATTTAATTGTGAATGCTTTAAGAAATCGCACTATTTTCACCATACATATGTTTTATCCCATGAACTAATCTCTCAACTCAAAAATGTTTTTTTTATTGTTACTATGTTATTCAGGAGAACCTTGTCGAAAGAGGTAATGAAGTGCCAGACGAAGCGTCCATAGCCGAATCCCTGCCGGAACAAGACATCTTGATCCAGTCGGTATGCGAGACCATGGTACCCAAGCTGGTCGCAGAGGATATACCGCTGCTCTTCTCACTACTAAACGATGTCTTCCCCAACGTGGGATACACCAGAGCTGAGATGACTGGTTCGTTTCCATTATAAATATTTGCAATCCAAATTTAATCTTAAAATTATTTGTTACTATAGACTGGTCCACAAATAATTTCTTTTATCTAGTAATTTTTAATCTGTAGGTTTGAAGAACGAAATTCGCGCTGTTTGTGCTGAAGAATTCCTTGTGTGTGGAGAAGGAGATGAACAAGGTTCCACATGGATGGAAAAGGTATGTTGTTTCAATCAATTAATAGTCAAATGCTAGATATTTAATTGTTTTATTATTATCATTCAATTTAATGTGATTAGTGATTACACAAGTGGTTGTTATTTAAATAGTAATTAACATCTCAACGTTGTTTCACAAGTGAAGTGTCCAAAGATTTTTGCACAACGTTTGAGAATTTCACCATATCAACATATAAAATTGGTGCTGGTCGCATGCCCTAATAACATCTGGCCCAATATAATGTCTTGTTACTTTGACCTCTGTTTGATATTATAACTCTGAACTACATTTGGTAGAATGTAATTTCTTTTGAATTATGATTTTACCAAATATTATAAGTTATTAATCATGATATGAATTGGTGGTATTCAATTTAATTAACCAAGAAATATTTTAGGGATTTCGACCCAGGCCTTCATTACTTCATCCTAACGAAATTGGTGACGGCGACACAGTATAATCTAAATTATACTATTTATTCATTAATAAGTTAATACCATGCAGTATGAAAAGTATATTCATAACATTTAACATTATCATAACATTATTTGCTTTATCATTGTAACTATATTGTGTAGGCAACTGTAGTTTATACTCTTTATGTAACTCCATATAAGTCAATTTGTAACACTCTTTTAGTAAAAAAAAATAAGACTATGTTTTTCTACATTAAAATACTGAAATTCCTCAAAGATGAGATACATACTATCTAAGATTTACACAACTTTCAATTTAAATTATATGACACTTCCAATACCGACGATGACTGAACGTACGATTAAAATTTATAATAGAATACTTGAATCAATAATAAAGTATCAAATAACATGTTAAGTGTCCGTTTCCCTAACACCCAGTGGGGTTAATGTGCATGGATTACCCGATGGCGTTATACTTGAATCATTCTGACTAGCCAAGTTGACCACACTTCGAAATTTAGCCTTCTGCGCAAATACATCAATGAGCCACTTTAGTTGTATCTTACTGTGCACAAATGTGACAGTATAAATAAATATTGTCGTGTAAACGTTATAACGAGTATTAGCCAGTTCGTCGACACGATGTTACCATAACGTAGACGTGAGTGTGAATGCGTATGCGTTTCCATGCTAACCTGCTAACGGCACGTAGAAGCTGGGCGCGGCGTCGCGCGCGCAACACAGCACGTGGATCGAGAAGGTCAGTGGCGCACGCACCCTGCCACCTTGTCTATGGATCTGTGTGTCTTTATCTCACGGGAATTGTTTTTGGTCGCTCGAAAATAATTCTAGTAGATTTTCGATTATTGAAAATAGCAAAGACAGATAACTTTACTTCATATAAAATCTTCATGTTGTCGGTAAAACGTAATTATCGACTTGACTACCATTTGCAATATTTTAGTTAAATGTCTTTGCTATTCAAAACAAGTAAAAATCATATTCAAGTACCCACGGTTTGCCAGTACATTAGTTTAAATTTTAACATTTTCCTTTGCAACAGTGTAAAACTGTCATGAATGGTGGTAACAAAGAGATCACTGTTGCAACAGAAAATCTAAATATTTTTATTAACTACTGTGAATATTTAACTAATCAAATAATCAATGTCGTTTTATAAAATGAATATGATTTTTCTTAGAAAAATTTGTTTTTTTTTTCGTCTCCTCCACACAGTTCCTGTTTCTGTGTTCGTGTGTGTGTGCTATGTCGCTATCCTGTATTTTCGTCGCACAATGTTCTTCCATGATGTTTCATCGTTCGTTCGATTTGTCTTAATATATTGGTATAGTAGAACGCACTGTTGAAATCTCTTCGGCTTGTAAATAGCGTACTGTTTATCTTTTTTGTTTGTTTCTTTTTTCAGCTGTACTCTAATTAAATACCAGTTGTGAAATAAATATATAAAAATATTTAACAATATCTGTTTCATTACTGTTTTCACGGGTAATTCAAAATTTTGTTAATTATTTTTAAAGTATTTTTTTATAAGATAATTAGTTAGACTTAACACTTTGATGAAATTTGTTTATTTATCTCATATATTCATTCAATTTTAATTCTACTCAAGTATTCGATATGTTTTCCTTTTAAGTATACTCTAATTTAATTGTAAATTTCGTTTTACTAAAAACTTTCTGGTAAATCGATATACTGTCACTGTCTGTAGTCTCTATCGAATTAATCTGTCTGTGAATTTAAAATATAGGGATTGATTAGCTAATCTTTATTATGGTGTGTGTAGGTCTTGCAGTTATACCAAATTTGCAAACTCAACCATGGGCTAATGATGGTGGGTCCATCTGGCAGCGGCAAATCTACTGCCTGGCGTGTTTTGCTGAAAGCTCTGGAGAGGTAAAATTATACATAGAACTTTAATCTTATTTCTGTCTCATTTCCATTAGTCTTCTGAACAACATTTATAAATTACATTAAAACCAAAGAATACAAAAACTGTTATTAAATAATTCTTATTTTAATTCAAATGAATGTCATGGTCTCATTTTCAATCAACAGGTTTGAAGGTGTGGAAGGAGTAGCTCACGTGATTGATCCAAAAGCGATGTCAAAGGAGACTTTATACGGTGTACTGGATCCTAATACCCGCGAATGGACAGACGGTCTTTTCACCCACATTCTAAGGTAAATGATTTCTTTTAATTTATTAAAAAATCACAATTAAACAATGAATACTACATCCAATGTCAACCAACCGATATTCAGTTATGTTTGATGGAAACTGTTACTTAAAACATTGAAAGTTGGTCTCAAGTTTTTCTAAGTATTATGAAAGTACTCACTAATATAACAAGAAATTTACTACACAATATACAAATAAACATGAATACATTTGAGAGATTCTGCTCTTATTCTATATCATGTAGTTCACAACTGTCAATTGTATTCTCTCAACTATAAAAATAAAACAGGAAAATCATTGACAACGTGCGTGGTGAAATCAACAAACGTCAATGGATCATCTTCGACGGTGACGTGGATCCCGAGTGGGTAGAGAATCTGAACTCGGTGCTAGACGATAACAAACTGCTCACTTTGCCAAACGGCGAGCGTCTTTCGCTGCCACCTAATGTCCGAGTCATGTTTGAGGTAAGAATTGGACCGTAATTCGACTAAGGAGAAGCGATTTTTGCTTAACTATGAAATAGAGACATTAAAGATCTCAATATTACACTTATCAACTAATGTGTGTAAAGTCACACCAACACATCAAAATATTACGATAAAAGTTACTGCATTTCATGTGCGTACTGCAAATAATAATAGATTTGTTTCATCTAATTCGGGCTAGTAATATAATATAATTTTCAATCTGTAATATAAATACGTGTGGATGAAATACTGCAGTCATAGTAATCGTCGTAATTTTGTAAAAAATTGATTCCACGAAGATATCCAGTATCGATCGATATAACCATGGCATGGTATACACGCACAAAAAAACACCCAGATAAAAAAAATAAAGTCATATCTGCTAGTAATAATAAATAAATCATATTTACTATTTTGTTCTTTTTTATGTATCAATTAAATTTAAAGTTTGTTACACCTGACTTTACAATCAGTGTTATAGGTACCAAGTGTGATTTTGGTAAACATTGGTTAGAAGAAATATTACAAAAAACTACTTTTTCTTTACTCCTGACTATAGTCAGATTGATGGTTATTACATACATGAATCTATGACTGTAATATTTGAAACCATTTGTAATAAGGTTAATTAATCATAGGTTTGTTTAAAAACAAAAAGTCATCGCAAACGCCGACTCATCCGCCCCGCCCTTCGTCGCCCATAACGTCATTAACCTGCTCATTCAAACTATGTACAGTTTTAAATTAGGTGTCTATTGCTTAAAAGAAACACTTTTGGATGTATACATGATGAACACAATACTTACGTCAAATTGGTCCTTACAACAATACACATGGCTGTGAGAGAATCTGCTCTTTACATAATCTTCAACCATTCTTGTCGGATATTTCTATCATGTGGTAGATTCAGCAAAAACAATGTTTGTGGTGTTTTTTCACTGGAGTTGATATGCAAAGGCACAATACAATATTTCCTATTTTGTTCATTCGCTATAAGAAAAAAAAGTGTCCGCAAATACCAACTGGCAGTGTCAGGACGTAACATCACAATTAGCGCGGTCGCTTCGCTGGATTTTGCCGCCGAAGCCATACTTTAACGTTTAATATTTTTGACGATAGGAAAAAAGTAAAAGCTGTTTTTTTTCTCGTCTTACGTTTTAGATATGCTGATAACAAAAATCTTTGGTCTAACGGATTACATGATACAATACAGACGTAAAATGTATGCAGTGAAAAAGTTATTTATTATGTAAGTTTTACTTTAGTCATTAGTAAAAGCTCAACGTTTTCCGTAGGTACAAGACTTGAAGTACGCCACCTTGGCCACTGTGTCGCGTTGCGGCATGGTTTGGTTCTCACAGGATGTCCTCACCACTGAAATGATATTCGAAAACTATCTTATGAGGTGAGTCACGTAACATACATTGCTGTATTTGTTTGGTTTTTTTTGTTAATTCAATATTAATGTTACTTCATACAGACTCAGGAATATACCACTGGAAGATGGCGAAGAAGATTCTTTCAGTATTGTAATGGCAGCTCCCACCGCTGGCGGTGATCAAAATGCTACTGAAAATATTCTTTCACCAGCACTACAGGTTAGTAGCAAATACACTTGTGATGCTTGGAAAATAAAATAATTAACTTATTTTAAAAAAGTCATTAATTATCTTAAAATATGCAGTTTAACAAAATTTTAAAATTTTTCTTCTGGAATATGTTATATTTGTAGAATCAATCTTGTTTAAAATATTGATTTGTTTGAAATTTAAAAGACCTTTACTGCCAATTAAATAAAGCATTCAAAAAGCCCAAAAATGTGTAATATCATAGTTAAACTAATGCCTACAGACGTCGATATCTCTGTAGCTTAAAGCGCTAAAATTATAGTAATTATGTTCATGAATAACTTAACATAACTAAAGATGATACTGGATTGATGGCATTAACTGGTATTTACATAGACGCAACGCGATGTAGCGTCGATACTTCAGCCGTTGTTCTTCGGTGATGGACTGGTGGTGAAATGCTTGGAACGTGCGGCGACTCTCGACCACATTATGGATTTCACTCGTCACCGAGCACTGTCCTCACTCCACTCGATGCTCAATCGCGGCGTCCGGTAAGTATTGTTGAAGAATATCAGTGCCCTTATCACGAAGAAAGAATTATCTAATGCAAAAATACCTCGAAATTCTTTAATTTAGTTGGATAGCAGCAGTTGTCAAACAGATATATTGACTAATCAACTATGATAAATATGTTATGTAGTTCCAAATATTATTCTATTTTTATATACGTTAAAACATTCAAATAGATTTTTTTTTTCCACAGGAACATTCTTGCTTATAATCGACAACACCCCGATTTCCCTATTACTAACGAGCAACTAGAAGCATATGTGCCCAAGTGGCTCGTATACTCTTTGCTGTGGTCGTTCGCCGGTGACGCCAAATTAAAGGTCAGTTCTACTATACAAATGTAATTCAATCCAAGATTCAATTTTAACTGAAATATAGAATAAAAATAGTTTAGAAAATCTTACAAAGGTATATAACAAGTGCTTAATTTTTATTCCCATAATTAGGACCGCAACGAACTTGGCGACTTTATTAGATCAGCCAGTACTATGCAGCTACCAAATTGCGGAGCCAATCAACACATCATTGACTTCGAGGTAATTTTTTATCATGTCTTCATTATCAATTACCAATGCTATTGATTTTAAACCTTAATGTATTAATAATTGAGTTCAAAGTCTTCTTAAGTTAAAAATCAATGAGAGACTCATAATTGAGAAACTCTTGTAGGTTTCGATAACTGGTGAATGGGTGCCTTGGTCGGCTAAAGTACCACAGATAGAGGTAGAAACGCATAAAGTGGCCGCGCCCGACGTAGTGGTGCCCACTCTCGATACTGTGCGCCACGAGGCACTTCTCTATACCTGGCTAGCTGAGCATAAGCCTTTGGGTGAGTAAAAACCATACTATTATCAGTATTTTAATATACATAATATCTGAGGTTGAGAGATGTAGAAGCTGGAAATGAAATTTCATATAATATCTATAATATTTTAGTGGTGGTGGTAGAGAGATGATGTTAACCGTACCACTAAATCTTGTATAAATATGTAGGGTTGAAAATGATTGTTCAACTTACGTGATAAAATATAATGTTTATTAACAACGTCCACATAAACAGTTTATACATATAATACAGAAGTAAGGAAGGAAAAGTTCAAACACAAACAGTTAATACACATGCAATAGTAAACAGGCAAGCAATAACACTATAATATTAAAAGCAAAAGGCAGAATAAATATTACATGCACTCCGCGTTGTAGTTACAATGACAGTTCTTTTTCGCGTCTCTCTGCGCACGCATGCGCGCGGCGCGGCGTCTCGCTGGTCGCGCATGCGTGCTTATTACTCGCTAGTGAGTACGCATATCGATGTTAAATAGTTATAGATAATGTAGATAATTATGTTTTAGATATAGTGAATGTATATTGTAAATAAATATAAAATAAGAAATGTGTATATAATATGTGTATATATAAATAGTTAATAGTAAATTAGAAAGTAGCCTACACCACCCCCCTCCAGAGACCGTCATGGGCGATAAAAATTTGTGAAATTGACTCGGCGTCCAGAACGAGTAATGTACTCTTTTGTAATATCTGGTGAGGAATCAGCATCAATTCGATCAAACAATATGAAGGCTGGCTTAACACGGTCTATCGATACTGTAACTTCTTTACCTTTTTGAAGAATTTTAAAAACTTTGTCACTTCTGTTTATAACTTTATATGGTCCTGAGTATGCTGGTTGCAAGGAACCGCGAGATGCGTCTTCACGAAGGAACACGTGATCAGCGGTTGCCAGTTCTTTATGCACGAATACTTTATGGTTACCATGTGTTGAAGTTGGTACAGGTCGTAGTTTCTCAGCAATGGTTCTCAGGCGGGCAGAGAATTCTGACAAGTCCGTAGTACCACCGGGTACAGTTTCAAAAAACTCGCCAGGTAACCTTAAAGGTTCTCCGTAAACTAATTCTGCGGATGAACTTTGGAGGTCTTCCTTGAACGCAGTTCTGATGCCTAACAATACCCATGGCAAGGATTCCGTCCACCTGTCATTGGCGTGGCAGACTATTGCGGCTTTGAGTTGACGGTGGAAACGTTCCACTAAACCGTTGCATGCAGGATGGTATGCAGTAGTCCGCTTGTGTTCGAAACCGGCTGCTTTAGACAGACTTGCGAATAGAGCCGACTCAAATTGACGGCCGCGGTCAGTAGTAATAGCTGTAGGACAACCGAAACGAGCAATCCACGTAGATAGTAAAGCTTTAGCCACCGTCTCTGCTGTGATGTCTTCTATCGGCACTGCTTCCGGCCATCTGGTAAACCGATCTACTGCTGTCAAGCAATACCGATAACCTTGCGAGATAGGTAAGGGACCTATCAGATCTATGTGGATCTGCTTGAATCGAACGCGAGGTAGTGCGAAAGTACCTAAAGGTGCACTTACATGACGAGAGATCTTGGCTTTTTGGCACGACAAGCAGGCACGTGCCCACTCTCTGCAATTTTTCCTTATCCCGGGCCAGACAAAACGTTCTGCAACTAATTTTGCGGAAGCGTTGGCACCAGGGTGACTTAGAGAATGCAGGCTCTCGAACACCTGTCTGCGAAAGGCATGAGGTACAAATGGCCGACTTGTTGGCGTGCTACTGTCACAATATAGTGGCAAATTACTACCAGGAATATGCATTTTCTCTAATTGGAGAGATGTACCTTCAGTTAGTAGTTGCTGAAGTTCCGGGTCAGATGTTTGTACTTGAGCTAAAATTTCAAGGTTGACTGGCATTCCTAGCTCTTCGACTCGCGACAAAGTATCGGCAACTATGTTGTCTTTGCCTGATATATGGCGGATATCTGTCGTAAATTGGGAAATAAAATCAAGGTGTCTGAACTGCCTTGGCGAACAATTTTTCTTCCTTTCATGGAATGCGAAACTGATTGGCTTGTGGTCAGTGTAGACAATGAAGTGCCGGGCCTCAAGCATGTGTCTGAAATATTTAATGCCTTCATAGATAGCAAGTAATTCGCGATCATAAGGTGAGTACTTTACCTGAGATGGACTCAACTTGCGTGAGAAGAAGGCTAAAGGTTGCCACGCACCGTCTTTATGCTGTTGGAGGACTGCGCCGATTGCCTTGTCGGAGGCATCTGTCACCAAGGCAAGTTTGGCGGCACAATCAGGATGCGCTAATAAAGCAGCATTTGCGAGACTATCCTTGCATGCGTTAAAGGCTGTAAGAGCATCATCTGCCAAGGTGATTGGTTGCGATCCTTTGACAGAACCTATCAATAATGCATGCAATGGTGCTTGGATTTCGGCAGCTCTAGGAAGAAATCTCCTATAAAAGTTAAGCATGCCCAAGAATGCCTTCAATTGACGTACGTTCGTCGGAGTGGGGAAATCCTTAATCACCTGCACTTTACTGTCCAGTGGTCTGGAGCCGTTTTTGGAAATAGAATATCCTAAAAAAGTTACTTTTTGAACACCGAAGACACACTTAGCCGTATTTAATAACATGCCGTAATCTTTAAGCTTAGTGAAAATTTGGCGAAGATGTTTCTCGTGCTGTAATTCGTCTCTTGAAAAGACCAAAATGTCATCGAGGTAACAGTACACGAAATCTAAGCCTCTGGTTATCTCATCCATAAATCTCTGAAAGGTTTGGCCGGCATTCCGAAGTCCGAAGGTCATAAAAGGAAATTCGAATAACCCAAATGGTGTTGTGATCGCGGTCTTCGGAATGTCAGCAGGGTTGACAGGTATCTGATTATATGCCTTCAATAAATCGAGGGTGCTGAAGACTGTACAGCCAACAAGATTATGCGCGAAGTCATGAATGTGCTTAATCGGATATCTGTCTGGTATAGTACGAGAGTTAAGCATACGGTAATCGCCGCAGGGACGCCAGCCGTTGTCCTTCTTTGGCGCCAAATGAAGTGGCGATGCCCAGGAACTTTGTGAAGGTCTGGCTGTTCCATTGGCGAGCATAGACTGGAATTCCTGTTGAGCAATCTTTAATTTGTCTGGAGCTAGTCTACGTGGTGTGCAAGAAACTGGAGGGCCTGGAGTTGTGTGTATATGATGGACAGTGTTGTGTGTGACTGTGCGGTGCGTACCGGTTGGTCGGGTGATCTCAGGAAATTCATCAAGGATTTTATGATACCTAGTATTACCAGTTAAAACTTTTACAGACGCTATGTTATTACAATTTACAAGTTTGGCTACAGTTGACAAAGAAGTAGTACTATCCAACAATCGTTTGTTACGGCAATCAACAATTAGGTAATAATGATTTAAAAAATCAACGCCTATAATTGGTTTAGTTACATCGGCTACAACAAAACGCCAATTGAACAAACGCCGTAAGCCAAAATCTAAATTAAGATGTACATAACCATAGGTAGATATACTGGATCCGTTTGCAGCACACAAATTATAGTCTGTCCGGGTTCGACGATCACGAAGAAGGGACCGGGGAAAGACGCAGAGGTCGCTTCCAGTGTCGACCAAGAACTGCACCTTTGAAGCACGGTCCGTGACAAACAGGCGACCAGTAGTTGAAGTAGGGCAGTCAGCAGTCGCCATTATCGACCGCCCGGAGCGTTTCCCGCCTTGAAGTCACAAGGGGTGATGCATCTGTTGGCCTTCTCGCCAAATTTGTGATGATACCAACAGCATGGAAATTTCCTGTAGTTAGATTGCGAGCGTTTTGACCTGGATGTTGATCGGCCGCGGGACATTCCCGTAGAACGTGAATGAGGTCTGCTATTCCTCTCTGTCTTAAGCTTCTGGAACTGCTTCCGAAGTTCAGCGACCTCTTTACTTAGAGCGTCGATGGATGAATTGCAGTTGGCTTGACTCATTGATGCCACTGATGGAGATGGTGTAGCCAGGTCGTGTATACGATCCGCTAAGTCTGCCAGATCATCGGTGGAAGAAGAGGGTGACTGACCTGCTAGCACTGTCTGGATCCCATGCGAAAGACGACTAATCCAGATTGTCTTCAAAAAATCATCGGGTACATTCACACCTGCGAGACTTTTCAGATGACGGAGAAACTGCGAGGGCTTTCTGTCTCCTAGCTCCTCATGCATCAAAAGTTGTTTGAGCTTCTTCTCTTTGGATGCCGTTAATCGCTTGATGAGCTCGGTTTTCAACTTGCCATACTTGTCCGAAGTCGGTGGGCTGATAATAAGGTCCTTCACTTCTCTAGAAAATTGGTTTTCTAGTTGACCAATTACGTAGTGAAACTTGGTGGAGTCATTGGTAATTCCAGATATGGCGAACTGCCCCTCCACTTGTGCAAACCAAATTTCAGGCTCTTCAGGCCAAAAGGGTGGCACTCTTATACCAACTTTGAAAACATCGATACTTTTTGTCGACTCGTTCCCATCACTAGTGCTTGGCTGCATTGTTATATTTGTTATAGCGATTTCACAATTCCTTCTACGTAATTCAGAGGAGTCACCAGTTTAGTGGTGGTGGTAGAGAGATGATGTTAACCGTACCACTAAATCTTGTATAAATATGTAGGGTTGAAAATGATTGTTCAACTTACGTGATAAAATATAATGTTTATTAACAACGTCCACATAAACAGTTTATACATATAATACAGAAGTAAGGAAGGAAAAGTTCAAACACAAACAGTTAATACACATGCAATAGTAAACAGGCAAGCAATAACACTATAATATTAAAAGCAAAAGGCAGAATAAATATTACATGCACTCCGCGTTGTAGTTACAATGACAGTTCTTTTTCGCGTCTCTCTGCGCACGCATGCGCGCGGCGCGGCGTCTCGCTGGTCGCGCATGCGTGCTTATTACTCGCTAGTGAGTACGCATATCGATGTTAAATAGTTATAGATAATGTAGATAATTATGTTTTAGATATAGTGAATGTATATTGTAAATAAATATAAAATAAGAAATGTGTATATAATATGTGTATATATAAATAGTTAATAGTAAATTAGAAAGTAGCCTACAATATTGCATAAGTCATCTATTATGTATCAAAAAGTTATGGTATAGGTTAAAAATAATACTATAAAATAACACACAATAGATCATCATCAGCCCTTTTACGTCCCCACTGCAGGGGCTCAGTCCTTTCTTATGAATGGTTAAGGAGGGTGGGCCATGACCCCTCCACGCTGGCCCAATGCGGATTGGAGGGTATTAACGACTGCAAATGCAGCCAGGACCAACAGCTTAACGTGCCATCCGAAGAACGGAGTAGCTCGAGATAATAATTTTTTGGTCACCCATCTTGTGACCGGCCCTTGCGAAAGTTGCTTAACGACAACGGTCGCGGGCCGCGGCGCTTATCCACTACGCCACCGAGCTACTCGGTATCGGTACAAAACTATAAATTATTGTTATTACACAGTACTATGCGGTCCTCCTGGCTCTGGTAAGACCATGACACTATTTTCTGCGTTGAGAGCACTACCAGACATGGAAGTGGTGGGGCTCAACTTCTCGTCGGCCACCACGCCTGAACTGCTCCTCAAAACCTTTGATCATTACTGCGAATACAGAAAGACACCTAACGGCGTAGTACTGGCACCTGTTCAGGTACTTTTAATTAGTTAAACTTGGACTCTTGTGATCCACATCTGTAATAGAGATCTCTACCCTGTAAATGCGACCATATCCTGTAAATAACACCTGAGTACCTAAAAAAATATTATTTAAAGTAATCTTAGAAGCACACGCTTTTTTTGTATTTCGATTCCAAATCTTATTACAGTAAAGAAGTGCTATTTAACTTCAAAACCCCAACTTTTCTATATTATTTTATTTTATTATCTATTAATAATAATAATAGATTTCATCTCTTATAAATTGGAAGTACTAATAGAAATGTTTCTTTTTCGTAGCTGGGCAAGTGGCTGGTGTTGTTCTGTGATGAAATCAATTTGCCAGATATGGACCAGTACGGCACACAGCGCGTCATCTCATTCTTGAGACAACTACTTGAACACAAGGGATTCTATAGAGCTAGCGGTAGGTATTTAACCTATATGAGATGAAACTCGTTGATTTTAAATTCTATTGTCTACACTTTAAGGTTTAAAATCAAGCAGAGACATTTGTCAGTTTTTTTTGTACCTAAAATAAACGTTAGTGACCATAGACATTTAAAACAAATGTCAAGTCACTCACTTATTTTAGAACTACAAATGCTAGGAGGAGGAGTTTGCGATGGGTGTTCTTTTTATTTTGTATAATTCGACCCCTAAGGGGTTGTTTTTGGGGTTGATTTGATAGTTTGTATGAAACTTTGTGTCTACAAGTGCTAGGACTTTGCATAGGGATTATTTTTAAGACAAAGGTGGGATTTTGTGGTAAAGCTTATCTTCATAACCACGCGGACAAAGTCGCGACAGCTAGTTATAGATAATTTAAAATTGCAACGAGTAAAAGTCGGTATGTTTGTATTGTAAGATCACTCTTGGGTACATCTGGAGCGCATCCAGTTCGTGGGCGCGTGTAATCCTCCCACGGACCCCGGCCGCAAGCCGCTGTCGCATCGTCTACTGCGACACGTACCTGTCATATATGTAGACTATCCCGGCGAGACATCTCTCGAACAGGTGACGATTACTATCTCGATAGAGGTGTAGACAACTTTTTAAAATTTTGAATTTATAATTGATAAGTAAATATACATGAAATATATTTAAAAAAGTATCATTCATATGATAAGGTAAAATCTAATAATAAATGAATTTCCATAATTTCCCGCAGCAACGCCAACTTCTGTCATAGCGTCACTATGACGTCACGGCCCTCTGAACTTGATATCGTTCTATATATGCTGGTTTAATTTTTAAGTTCTGATATGAGTAAGAGGGGCGTGATGTCACGCTCTGTTAGCGGTCATATGACAACGAGAATTAGTTTTTTCATAAGTCATTTAAGCAATATCATAAATATAATAAACATAAAAGTGTCATTATCGATAAAAGTTTCTGTAAAGTACTATAAGAACAAGAGCTACTAGTGCCCGAAATAATGTAAAAAAAAGTTCGTTATCTACATAGAATCGATAGAAATACTTAGATGACGTCATTATAAAATTATTCGTCCTGTTGTATCCTTGTGTTAATGTCTATATGGTTTGATATTTGGTTATTTGTATATTTTTTACCTTTTCATGTGAAAAAAACTTGTAAATTTTTGATAAAGTCCAGTATACAGATGTGCAAAATCTGGAATAATACGCACAACTCATTATCATCTATAAGGGTCGGTGCAAATTTGATGGATGCTCAAGCTTTTCACTGAAGTATGCGATATATGTATGACATATGTGCGTATGCAAGATTGATTGTCATATCGTGAATGAGTATTTGTAAGTTTGATACTCCGCGACCAACTAAATGCGATGCATCTAACGTCAAATATGAATAAAAAAAGTCCTGTCGCCAAACAGAGACAACTTCAAACATTAACCGCTAGATATATTAAACGAGAGCAGTAGCAATATGTTTGCGCGCGAATGAAAGAGATATGTAATGCGGGGTCATTGTACGAAATTATCTCTGTTGCGCGACCGAACTATAGTGTTAGTCATATTAACATACTAAAACAGAACTGTAAAGTAATACGAGGCATTTGCGTCAGATTTACGGCACGTTCACTCGTGCTATGCTAAGAATGCAGCCGGCTTTACGCGGGTACGCTGAACCGTTGACGCAGGCAATGGTCCGTCTGTACCTCGCGTCACAGGAGCGGTTCACGCAGGATATGCAGCCGCATTATGTGTACTCGCCAAGAGAGATGACGCGATGGGTTCGAGGCATATGCGAGGCTATCAGGTATAACATACGCTAAAAACTACATTATTTATGCGTTACTCAATATTTTATAATGTACTTCAAGCCATTTCAACCCACTTCCCATGTACAGTGAAAGACATTTTCACAAAAATTTTGATTGTTTTTTTGTTACTTTATGAGACAGCCTTGTAACTTATCGAAGATCTCTTTCAGTCTTTAGATAATACCTTATTCACTGCCGTTTTTAAGATTGTTATTATAAACTTACTAAATACTTTTTTTATAGTATTATTAAGTTATGTCATATTGTGGAGAAAAATAAAGAAAATTATTATTATTGTAAACACATGATTTCAAGCAAATTTCTTTGTTCATTAGACCTCTAGACAACTTATCCGTGGAAGGCCTTGTACGCTTGTGGGCGCACGAAGCTCTACGCTTGTTCCAAGACCGTCTTGTTGAAGATTCGGAAAGGCAATGGACAGACGAAAACATCGATACTGTAGCCATGAGATTCTTCCCAGGTATTTTACAACAAAATAATCATATAATCCATAATATATTTTCGAATTCAATAAAAGTTTTAATAAACAGTATCCCGATACTCTAAAAGATAAATACGATACCTTATTATTTCGTTTTTTTGTGTAAATCAGACTTTAATCTAAAGTCTTATCTCACGTTATGATTATATACGTGCGTATGCAAAATTACCTGGTTTCTCTTTTACAAAATTTCAAATAAATGTCTATTGTGCAGGTATCAACAGAGAGCAAGCATTAGCGCGTCCCATTCTATACAGCAATTGGCTAAGCAAAGACTACGTACCTGTACTAAGAGACCAGCTACGTGAATATGTCAAAGCTAGACTGAAGGTCAGTTGTCCCTGTTAAAAATTATATTTTAAATACTCGTGTTAGTACAGTTTAGTAGTGGCCATAATAAGATATTGAACTTTTGTGGTAAGCAGATGAAAGGGGGAAGGGTAAACTCCCAAATGTATATTAGAAGAAGAAACATTTATTGACCTTATCCCCACAAACAAATACATTACAATATATGATTCAAAGAAATATAAAAGATAACACTATTTAGAAACAATAGAATAATAACAATTACTGAGGTCAAACAGGACTCCGCCTTAGCTTGTGTTAACGTGACATCATCAAATATTAAAGTTATATATATAATAGTAGTATTATAAAATATATTACATTACCTAACCTACTTATTAAATACAGTAAACAAACGTGAACAAACTCGAAACAATGCGAAGTTTTTATAAAAAATAGTACCTATCTAGTACTGATTCCCCCAATATTATGCTCTTGATTGCATGCTGTATATACACCAATAAGCTCCACTATCGTCCAACGCCATTTATACCTGCTGGCATCTGTAGTTTTGACATGTTTCGCAGGTGTTCTATGAAGAAGAATTGGACGTTCCCCTCGTTCTGTTCGACGAAGTACTGGATCACGTGTTGCGTATCGATCGTATTTTCCGCCAACCTCAGGGGCATTTATTGCTCATTGGTGTTTCTGGTGCGGGCAAAACTACCCTCAGTCGTTTCGTCGCTTGGATGAACGGTCTTAGTATCTTCCAGATAAAAGTAAGTTATTTGTTAATACACGGTTATTAGTGAAACACCAACAGATTTTTACCACATTTCAAAATTGATAATATTTATTTTGTATCAGGTTCATAACAAATACACGGGCGCGGACTTCGACGAAGATCTGCGTACTGTACTGCGACGCGCTGGATGCCGCGACGAAAAGCTCGCGTTCATATTGGATGAATCTAACGTACTCGACAGCGGCTTCCTTGAGCGAATGAATACGCTACTCGCTAACGGAGAGGTATGTTTTTGATAGTGGGCGGTGATGGTAGATCTGTTACACACTTGGGAAAAATAAATGACGTAAAGCTCTGTTATCTTCACGTTTAACTGAATTACTAATCACAGTTGAGAGATAAAGCTAGACAATTGTAGTTAAGACTTATAGTAAATAGAAAATATGACGCATAGTAACCTGAGCTGTTACTGTATGACAATTTCGATTTTCCCAACTTTTAGGTTCCTGGGTTGTTCGAAGGCGACGAATTTGCTGCTCTCATGACTCAATGTAAGGAGGGAGCTCAAAGGGAAGGTCTAATGTTGGACTCAAACGATGAGCTGTACAAATGGTAAGTTATTGATGATATCATTTTAGTCTTGCTAATTAAAGAAGATTAATCTAAAATAAGTTGTAAAACAATACCTTCTTAGTATATTAGTCTTAAAATATTAAATTATAAAAATATTATTTTTTTCGTAAAATCAACTTATAATTTATAGTCTGTGGACTACAAGTATTTGGACTACAAGTATTGAAACGCGGGCGGTCATGATGACGTGTGACGTCACGTTTCAATAAACTAAACATCAATTCCTTTGTTGAAAGTGCAACCAGTACTCATGTTTATTGGAACGTGATGTCAGGACTGGAAATGTTACGAGACTGTTTTCGCGAGACAATTTAAATTAAATAATAAAATATGTTGTTCCTTTATTTCATCTTTTACATCTCCTACTGCAAAGGGTCAGGCCTTCTTTATCTCTCTCTCCACGCTGGCCCAATGCGAATTGGAGGGTATTAACGACAGCAGATGCAGTCAGGACCAACGCCGTTACGTGCCTTCTGAAGCACGAAGTACCTCGAGATAACAATTTTTTTCTCACCCTTGCAAAAGTTGCTTAACAACAACGATCACTGACCGTGGCACTTATCCACTACGCCAACGAGTCCTCCGTTACTACACCATTTCTTTATTTATTAACACTCGGTGAAAAAATAAATCTGATAGTCATAAAGAACTTACCAAATCAGTCAAGTAGCCGATTGTTAAAATATTGTTATGTAACTATGTTTCACATTATTAAATATTTATCGTAAAAATTTCGATAGGTTTACTGGTCAGGTGATGCGCAATTTACACGTCGTGTTTACCATGAATCCGTCGTCTGAAGGGCTGAAGGATCGCGCGGCGACATCGCCAGCTCTGTTCAATCGCTGTGTACTCAACTGGTTCGGTGATTGGAGCGATGGGGCACTGTTCCAAGTCAGTTCCTTTAAATAATTTTTAGTATTTATTTCTTTTTACTATGTAAAGATTGTGAGAGTCCGAAGTATGGTTTGTTAACAGGAATGAATATTTATTTTTAAACTGAGCGTAACATTAAAACTGATATTAAGGAAGTAAATTAAATTTTAAATTACTTTCATTCATATTGAAAAAAAAAGTGCTGAATACTATACTGAATTAGTATCCAGATTAGGGAAGTGTTCATAGATAAATATATTATAATGAAGACTGCATAGAATTATAACGAAACATTCTCATACATCATCAATCAAGAACTAAAGGCATATTCTTTTGTAGAAAAAGATAAAGTATTATTATATTTGTATAATAAATAAAGTAGTATGAATTTTTCATTTACAATGCTATACTTGATTAAAAATAGATAAAAGTATATTAGCGTCTTCGATTACCTAGACCACGTGGCTTTGTTGTTCATGCATGCTTATTTTGTTTGACTTGTTTGCTCGCTCGATTAACGAACGAAAACACACGGCCAGTTGCACAAACGTTCATTAAGATTTAATGACGCCGTTAAGCTCTAATGATTCTCAAATTTGTATGGGTAAAGTTACTTTAGACGTTTGTGAAGCTAATAATCAGGTAGCAGTGTAAATAACTAGTCACTTGGTTGGTGTACATCTATCATGTTAAAACTGTGCCCACAGTTTCTCTGATTATTTTTCTAACAAAAATAAAGGATTTGCAATGGTAAAGAGTTCGCTAGTCGCAAGTATGCCGATCATCCCTGTTGTTTTAATCTCTGAGGCATACAGTAAATTTGTCTGGTTTGATACAATTCAACTGATCATCACATCATCATCATCAGCCCTTTTACGTCCCCACTGCAGGGGCTGAATCCTTCCTTATGGATGCTTAAGGCGGATGGGCCAACACCCTCCACGCTGACCCAATGCGGATTAAAGGGTATTAACGTCCTGCAAATCCAGCCGGTACTAAAGGCTTAACGTACCTTCCAAAGCACGGAGTAGCTGGAGATAATAATATTTCGATCACCCATCCCGTGAGCGACCCTTGCGACAGTAGCTTATCAAAAACGATCGTGGGTCGCGGCGCTTATACGCTACGCCACCGAGCTGCGCCCACTGTGTCCACTGATGGTTTGTTTACGTATGTAAAGGTTGGTAAAGAGTTCACTAGTCGGATGGACCTCGACTCTGCCGAGTACGTGCCGCCGGATTTGTTCCCGGCGGCGTGCGGGGAGGTGGGCGCGCGGCCGTCGCACCGGGAGGCGGTCGTGAACGCGTGCGTGTACGTGCACCAGACGCTGCACCAGGCCAACGCGAGGCTGGCCAAGCGGGCCAACCGGACCATGGCCATCACGCCCAGGTAACGATTACGTCGCCATGTAGTGTTCCGTGTGTATAAATAAAGGGAAAATAATACTTATCTCAATAAGCAATTTATTCAAGAAAATGCTGTTAATGTTTGGTGGCGGTTTTCTGTAGGTTATTAATTAAATGATAGGCACCCGACTTCATTAGTATTTTTTTTTATAAGACGTTCTTGTGTTAAGTATTATTTATCACTTTTTTAAGTTTGAAATGGTTCTATATTTTTATTTTTTCCCTGCTTTTTAGTGATATTTTTATATAATAGGTAAAAATACTTTTCTGAAAACCGTGTCAAAATTGTTAAACAACACATGTTAAAGTGCGAACCTCTATTTTTTTGTAGGTTAATATACCTAAAACCTCCTAAGTCTGACAAATACTATGCAAAAACCGCACCCAAATCGGTTCATCCAAACGGGAGATAATCGCGCACAAACATACAGGTCAAAATGAGCACCTCCCTTTTTGAAGTCTGTTAAAAAGGCGAAATAGTAATTTCAGTAGTGAAAAATATGTCACGAAGTTAAACAAGAACTAAAATTATGGCGGGTCGTGTTCTAAGTCTAATGATACTTGAAACACGACCCGCCATGATCGCTCCGTCAACATCGATTAATCGTAAATAAAATTTCTAGATTAGAAGAATTTACCTGATTGGCATCTTTTAATAAAATCAAAGATTTAATTTTAAGGTGTAACGTGTTTATTTACTGATTCTGTTGTGTAGCTTTTTTTTTCTATCTCCCATTCAAGAATTACTATCGCTGTGGTAAGAATAGATTTCCATTCCCACTCTCTAGTATATATGAGGTTTTTCTATTTATAACATTTATTTCTAACGATATCTGAACCGTGGTTTCTTAAATCTACAATGGTTTCACAGACATTACCTAGATTTTATCCAGCAAATGGTGAAACTGTATGCTGAGAAACGAGCCGATCTAGAAGAACAGCAGTTGCATTTGAATGTGGGGCTCGGCAAGATAGCAGAGACCGTCGAACAGGTTGAGGAAATGCAAAAGAGTCTTGCTGTCAAATCACAGGTAACAAATTCAATTACTAATATGTTATTTGATTTAAGTTTATACACAACTTTATATTGTGATTTGCTAATATAACAGGAATTACAAGCTAAAAACGAAGCCGCTAACGCTAAACTTCGACAAATGGTCAAAGATCAGCAAGAAGCTGAAAAGAAGAAGGTTGAAAGTCAGGAAATTCAGGTATGGTGCTAATTTTAGATGTTTCTTTACAATGATCAATAACGAATGTTTATAAATAAATTCAACAATAATTTTATATCATATAGGTTGCTTTAGAAAAACAAACCAAGGAAATTGAAGCGAAACGAAGAGATGTAATGGCGGACTTAGCGCAAGTAGAACCTGCTGTTATCGAAGCGCAAAACGGTTTGGTTTTCAGTTTATTTATTATATTTAGACATATTTCCTTGCATCAAACGAGACTCGTGATATTACCGAGTTCCTTAATACTTAGGTTTTCAATATGCCCTACACATCCCATAGAAGTTATATATGTTGAAATTAATCTCACTAATTTAAATAACGAGTTGTGTAGATTAAATATATAACAATCTTAGATTCGTAGTTCGTCCATAATAAGATTAGAAAGATGCCTGATAGAATAACCGATTATTGTAAATGATAATTTGTTTGTAGCCAGATACTTACTATTTGCATTTATTTCCTAAGACTTACTTTATAGAGTGTACAAAAGACTATATGAAACTAAAGTAGTATCTAGCTGCAAATAGACTAGTATTAAATGTGAAGACGTAACGTGGCAGCTGTGCGGTCTATCAAGAAGCAGCAGTTAGTGGAGGTGCGATCTATGGCAAATCCACCGTCCGTAGTGAAGATGGCACTGGAGTCTATATGCACGCTGCTCGGAGAGAAGGGTGACACCTGGAAGGGAATCCGTTCCGTCGTCATGAAGGACAACTTCATATCCACCATCGTCAACTTCGAAACTGAGAATATCACGTTAGTTGAATGCGAGCATGTTCGGATAATCGGAACGCAATGACGAATGCTTTTTGTCCGCGTATGAATGTATTAAGACCACTTTTATCGATATAAAAATTTAAGTAAATGTCCCTCTTTATACCTACTCACACGGTCGTATATCATTGTGGAACTATGTATTCTAAAATGAATTTTAGAAGTTACTTTGTATTTCTTTTTCTATCGACAAAAAAAGACGTTTTAAACACCACCAAACACCCTACATATGGTATAGTTTTCTTCTATTTATATTTAATTCTTTAGCTCGTATTTGCAATAGTGGTGGTGGGTGATCGAAAGTGTGGACAAAGCGGCGCCTCTCGATTCTCGTATAAAACGTTGAATTATTGCTTTTATATGTAGTATTAAAATGTAAGAAGCTTCGTTTCATTTTCGTTCCGATTTCTTGAACGATCCCATAATAAAGCATGTCATACGCTCCCATAATGTCTTTAAATGTATTCAGTGGATAGACAGCTCTATTGACTTAACAATATAATTTAAAAAAATATTTATTATTACTGAAAATTATGTGTCAGTGCATTTGAGTTGGTAGTCTGTTACTACTCACAATAATTATTTATTTAAAGTTTATAAAATTGTTATGCTGTATCCTTAAAAATGTTACTCGGTTAACATATTTTTTTATGTCAAAGAACTGGCGTATGTCGCGCTGTATTATCATGTTATACTTATTACCTTGATTAAGGATAACCTGTTGAATTAAATTTTGGAATGTATAGAAAACAATTTAGATAGCAAGCATTTTTTTGTATTTTATTGGCAAAAACATTATTGTTCACTTGATATTGTAATGCATCTAATTATGTTGTATTTTAATTTGACACTCATCTCACTAAGCATTATTTTATTGTACTGCAAGGATCTATTAGTATAATACTATCTGTAGTCGAATAGTTACATTGGTAGCTATTTGAATTTCCCTATCGTGAATGATGTTATGATTTTTTTGTAACAGTAATTTAAATTGTATCTTGTATATAAGCTAAGCTCGCTTGCATTATGTGACTGTTGTTATTAATATTATGTTTTTCTACCGTAATGCTGTAATAATTTATTGTTAAATGGCATCTGTGTAAGGCACACTAATAATTCGTAATCGTGACTAACCCCCCGCTAAGCATCGTCGTGGACCGAAAACATTAACCGTTCTAAACTATTCGTACTTTACTAATTCAAAATTTATTAAAAACAATGTATTTTGCGAATGGGGCTCTAGATTAGACTCGTATTAGTTCTATTTTCTTTTTCGATTTCCGATATTCTTATAAAAATCTGATTGGCTATCGAATCAGAGGACAGAGCTATACCCGCCGTCTCTTCTGCGACGCCTTCAATCGCTGTACACTCGGTGACTACGTTCTACGTTTATCGTAAAACAACAATGCCAGCCGCATGTGTCATAGAAAGCTAAACGCCTTTTTGTTTCTTTCTTTTTTTACTCTCTCGCTCTCGCTTCGTGTTGGTGACGGCGCGACGACGACATCCGGGTTAAACAATACAGCGGTGAAATCTATAAAGAAGCAGCACTTGGTGGAAGTGCGCTCTATGGGCAACCCGCCGGCGATAGTGAAGGTCGCCTTAGAGTCCATCTGTCTACTGCTCGGCGAGAACGCCACCGACTGGAAAGCGATAAGAGCCGTTATCATGCGCGAGAACTTCATCAACAGCATCGTCTCCAACTTCTCCACGGAAGATATAACGTGAGCACCGCCCCGCTTTATTTCCATACTCCCCCACAATAAGGTCACCCCTTCCCGTTTTCTAGTTTTTAAGGTAGAAGGCGTTGAGCTTAAGATTTTTATTTTTGTATGTTGGTTGGGGTGCTTGAAGCATGCTTGTTTGTGCACTGGTATGTTGTGTTGGTCTGTTCACAACTGATTTGTCCTTTTTGTGGTGTTGGCTTAACCCCAATTCAAAAGATACTTAAGCGGTAATAAAATGGATTTCGTTTTTAATACTCGGTTGTCAACAATTTGGAAAACAATTACATTTAATTTTAGCATGAAATCAAACTAATTTAACATGATTTATTTGCCTATTATGACAATTAAAATTTTAAACCTCATTGAATTTTGCAACTATTGATGTAATATAGATAATCACAAAATCAAATAAAACATTGATTGCGCTACTAAAATTAAATATTTTATACTTATAAATTTGCATAATTCTATATCGATTTTATGAGACGCATGAATGTATTTGCCAATAAATGGTCTTCGTTTGTGTAATCGTATATAGTCTCTACTGACAGTGATTTTATTGGCTTTTCTTTTTTCGGTTTTTATGTTTGCTATCTGATGTGTCTTTCTATAGATTAAATATAGGATATTTTTATTCATTTATTATGTGTGGTGTCCGTTGGTAAGTGACGTATATTATTTCTATCTTAAACAAAGGGTTGATATAATAATAATTAAAAGAATAATTGCATGATTCATGGCAAAATTATTGGGATACATTCAATTGGTATGGTTCATAGCATTGCACGAAATGCACGTAAGGGGTAAATTCATTTCTTATGATATTTTGCTGATTATTAATGCCATTTATTTTACTTCCTAGTGACGATGTACGCGAGAAAATGAGGACTCGTTATTTAAGCAATCCAGATTATAACTTCGAAAAAGTCAACCGAGCTAGTATGGCTTGCGGTCCTATGGTTAAATGGGCTATAGCTCAGGTAAAATTTGAATCTACTTCAAAATGATTTATCAAATTTCCAGACTTCTAAAAAATAATACTCAATAATGTTTAGATCGAATACGCCGATATGTTGAAACGTGTGGAACCTCTTCGCAATGAACTGAAAGCGCTAGAAGACCAAGCACAAAGCAACGTGAAAGCTGGTGATGAAGTCCGTGAGCTTATCGCCCAGCTCGAGAAGTCTATTGCTTCTTACAAAGAGGAATACGCGCAGCTTATCAGCCAAGCTCAGGCTATCAAGACCGATCTCGAGAACGTGCAAGCTAAAGTAAGATTAAATAGTTATTTCAAATTACACTTGAACTAAAAATATTTAATGATTTCTTATTGTTCATTTCTAAAATATTTATTTTTATACCAGGTGGACAGGTCCATAGCGTTACTGAAGAGTTTGGTAATAGAACGTGAACGATGGGAAGCTAGCTCTGAAACATTCCGTTCTCAAATGAGCACGATTGTCGGTGACGTCCTGCTTTCGGCCGCTTTCATCGCATACGGCGGATACTTTGATCAACATGTAATCATCATAATTATTTTATATTTCAATATTTTATACCTTTCATAGAATACTGAATAGTTTTACGTTTTTTTTCTCTTGACAGTATCGTCAAAACCTATTCTCCACATGGACGAATCATCTAGCCAATGCTAACATTAAGTATCGGGCGGATATCGCTCGCACTGAATATCTAAGCAATCCTGACGAGCGTCTACGCTGGCAAGCGAACGCGTTACCGACAGACGAACTCTGTGTAGAGAACGCCATCATGCTAAGGGTAATAAAACTAATTTAAATCGTGATTAATTAACTTTATTAATTACTTTGCTTTTCAAGGAAAGCTAGACAAAATCACTAATAATATGAGGGAATATGTATGACTTCTATTATTGTCACGTTGAAATGGTTTGCAAGAAGATTTAAAACTATTTTCATAGTTTTTTGATAAGGAAATTTAAAATAAACTGTGACGTCATAATCTTGTGAGCATTGCATGGGATAAGCAAGGACAGAAAATTTTTGCACTCTAATTCCTCAGAGTGCGTAAATTATTCGCTTAATTATTGCTTAATTATACCCGATTTCCTTCTTTCATGTATTTTCCGAAACTGAAAGACCAAAAAGTTTTTAAGCAGAATAGTAAAAACGTCTTGTGCCTATTGACAGCGCTTCAACCGCTATCCACTGATCATCGACCCATCGGGACAAGCAACAGAGTTCATAATGCGCGAGTTCAAGGATCGCAAGATTACAAAAACCTCCTTCCTCGACGACTCCTTCAGGAAGAATTTAGAATCGGCGTTGCGTTTCGGTAACCCGCTACTCGTACAGGTAAATACAAATCGCTACGTACAGAATAGATAACTGTATCAAGTACGAATGTAATATTAAAGTGTCTATAATGTGTAACAGGACGTTGAGAACTATGACCCAATACTCAACCCGGTGCTGAATCGAGAACTCCGACGCACAGGCGGACGTGTTCTCATTACACTTGGTGACCAGGATATTGATCTCAGTCCTTCATTCGTTATCTTCCTAAGCACTAGGTATGTATCAAATTTAAAAATGAAACCAAATATGTTATACAGTAGGTTCCAACTAATGTGGTCCATGGTAAACCTTTGCGCATAGCAATATCTACCAAATCAGAGAATGACCTGACGTACGAATAAAATTTATAGCGAGCCTTGTTTCAATAACCGCTATCCAAGACACTGCGTTGTCAAAACATTTATAACGCGCTTCGCTAGGACCAATTTGGGTAAACAGTCTCCCTTGGCACGAATTTGTAACGACTATAATTATTTATCGAATAATGTATTGAGCATTGACATATTTGGTGACAGTTTTTTTTAGAACATATTTTAAATAACTTTAAAATATAATAATATAATAATACATAATACAATAATATAATAATACAATAATATAATAATATAATAATACAATATTTTAAATAACTTTAATGTACTTTTTTAATTAAATATTTTATATCACAAACTCATCTGACTTCAAATAAGTTGACTGCGAATGCTATGTACGCATTAGACTTTTTTTTATTAAGGTTAAGTTATAATTAAATATGTAATGTGACAGTACTATATATATAAATAAATAAATAACCGTAAGGTGTAAAATACAATGCCTTAAGTTTTTCATCCATGTTCAGCCGGAGTCAGGCTGTTGGATATTGATAGATCGCCCTATGGCGTGATACTTGAATCATTCGGATTTGCTGACATTTGCCTCGCTTTGACATTGTAATTCCTGCTCAGGTACATCAACGAGCCATAACAATTGTACTGAAATGAAATGAAAATGTTTTTATTCAAGTAAGCTTGTTACAAGCACTTTTGAATCGTCCAAAAATATTTTTTCCCCTGCCACTTGTACCAAAATTTAATTTCTAAAATAGATTCTAAATATAAATATTTTATTATATTCACTTTAAACAATCACGCTGCATTATTAAATACTTATAATACCGGGTATTAGACGCGACTTTACACTGACCTTTCCGCCGGGTTGCACCGGCCGTGGTCACGACGAGACTGGGGCAGCAAGTCTACGCCTCTGCATCCGAAGATGAATCATGTTCCACCCACAGATTTTTCATCCAACTACCGTCACAAACAACAGTAACGGTGTCCCTATTTCGCACATGAGCTGTATTCTGGAGATTTACCGATTACGAAAAAAGAGGTTGCATTTTAGCAAATACTGGATTCCACGCTTGTGACAATTTATATCGGTCTTCCCGATTGAAGTTATTAGGGTGTTTCTTAATTTCAATCGCTTTACGCACTACTCTTCAATAAAAGTCGCGATCCGTGGAAAGGACTTGCTTACGGTAAAACTCGAGCCAGTGATTTGTGCCCCTTTTTGGCAGACCACGGCCGGTGCAACCCGGCCGAAACTTCGGCATAGGTCATTGTAAAGTCGCGTTTAACACCCGGTATTATAAGTATTTAATATTTTATTAATTAAAATAAAAATAATAAAATGTCCAAAATAATCTTAATCTATCTATTTTAAGCATTTATTGCCACTAAAGCGTATATAAAGCAGTCAATATTTTGAAATCGAGAAATTGATTGAATTTTTTTTTTTGTATAAAATTCGATCACGTGAAAAACGCTAACAAAATGATTTTGAGGATGTTTACAATGTGGGGACGGTTTTTGCCACAAACAGACAAAGGCACCCCCGGTGAGTTCAATTAACAATGACGACATAATGTACAGGGACCCCACGGTCGAGTTCCCGCCGGACATGTGCTCGCGTGTGACATTCGTTAACTTTACTGTGACACGATCGTCGCTGCAATCGCAGTGTCTGCATCGCGTCCTGAAAGCCGAGCGACCAGATATAGACACAAAACGTTCCGATTTGCTCAAACTGCAAGGTAACATTTAATATTAATTCTTACACACATGTGTTTAGAGTGTTGACCTATGTAAATTTGCCTTTTTCTCTTCGTAGGCGAGTTCCACCTTCGATTGAGACAACTCGAAAAGTCTCTTCTCCAAGCATTGAATGATGCCAAGGGTAAAATTCTCGATGACGACTCTGTTATTGCTACCCTCGAAACACTTAAGAAGGAAGCTGATGACATCGGACAAAAGGTATACACTAATTTGTTTTATAGCTTTGTAATAGACGACTACTCTTATTACTATTACAAGTTAATTTATTACAAGTTAAAGGTAAACGACATGGTACATTGATGATATTTTTTATTTATTAGGTGGAAGAAACTGATAAAGTTATCGCTGAAATTGAAACTGTTAGCCAGCAGTACCTACCGTTGTCTCAAGTAAGTACACCTATAATAATCTGTAATAATTAACATTAATGTTTTCTGTCAGACAGATGGTCTGGAAATGCACTAGATATCACTACCTATTGCCGAATGATTTTTATTACAGGCTTGCAGTAGTATTTACTTCACTATGGAATCGCTGAACCAAGTACATTTCCTGTATCAATATTCGCTGAAGATGTTCTTGGACATATTTAGTTCAGTGCTTGTGTGCCCGTTATTAAACGGTGTCACTGATTACACCGCCCGGCTGAAGACAATCACGGAGGAACTATTTACTGTGAGTATTGTAGTTCACCTAGGTAAATATTCAGTTAAATATTTAACTTGAAGAACAATGTTTCACAAATTTACAAGTCCCAGGCAACCTGTCCAGGTACTCTATAAATGCACTAAAATATTCAATTGATCATAACAATCGTCGGCAGGCGGTGTATGAACGCGTAGCTCGCGGTATGTTGCATACGGACCGATTGACATTCGCGCTGCTCCTGTGCCGTATCCAACTGAAGGGTATAGGCGCGGCGGATACACTGGAACAGCCTTTCGCTGTGTTCCTCCGCGGCAAGGAAGGATTCGTATCCCACGCGCCACCCTCCGACCATCTCACGCCGCAACAGCACGCCGCCGCTGCCCGCCTGGCTTCCAGGTAAACATATTATTTTATTTTAATAGTTTAAAATTAAAACATGAGTCTAGTATTTTAATGATAGAAATGAGACAATAAATATAAAGCCACTCCCATTTGATAAAACACCAGTTGAGTTTCCCATATATACATTTGATAAAACACCAATGAAGTTTCACAATCGAGAATACAAGTTTTCTGTTACAATAGTTTTAGTCAAGACTCTATTTTTTCTGCTACGTGGCGTTATTGTCCCGAGCTAAGAATAAATTATTAATGAAAATAAGTTAAATAGAATGATAAAAATAGGTTATATATCGCTGAACAAATAATCACCAGTGTTTGACGAAAAATATTGACTACTATGGACATCACTATTTTTCGATTATAATACGATTTAAAAATAGTATAAAACAAAATCGTTTCCAGCTGTGTGTACACTGAGATCTTTTAAACTACACAGTGGATTTAAATTTTTATCAATATACAGAGTGATATGTAAGTATAAGGCGAAGCCGCTGACATAAAGCTAGTATGATATAAAATAAACCAATAGGGGTGTAGACAACTTCTTTTCATATTTTCATTTTATAGATGTGCATAAAATATATCTAAAAAATATTTAACAAAAGTATCATTCATATAACAAGTTGAAACCTAAAAATAAATTCAATTTTAAAAATGGAATACGGATACGCCACTTCTGTCATGGCGTCGCTCTGACATCACGGCCCTCTGAAACTAATATCGTTCTATGTATGGATAAGGGTGAATTCTCAAAGTTCTCATACGACTAAGAGGGGCGTGACATCACGCACTGTTTGAGGTCACGTGACAACGAGTATAAAATATTTGTTTTTTCATAAAATATTTAGGCAATATTATAAATACAATAAGCATAAAAATGTGATTATCGGTAATAGTATATTAAATAAAACCAGAAAAAAATAATATGTATTTATCTTCGTTTACTGTCTACACTAGTATTGAACAAGAAAAAGTCTATTCCTAGTAACATATGACATACGATAACTCTGACTTTAAGTAATGACGGTTTATTAGATTGGTATCGTTCCGTCGTCTGCTGGAGAAAGCGGCGGAATTGCCTGAGTTGCCAGCTTGGCTAGCGCAAGCGGCGCCCGAACAATGCGTGCCCACACTGTGGGACTGCGAACCTGCCGCGCCCCCCGCATCTCACACACTCGCCATGTACCGGCTGCTGCTCATACAGGTCAACATTAATACATTCTATATTTAAATTTAACTTCAAATTGATCTGTCCGTTATTGATGGTTGAAGATATGCGCACTTTTTCATAATCCTCTGAATGTGACGTAATCGGTCAATGTTAATGTTGTAGTATGTAATGTATCTATAAGTCTCCAAATGCATATTTACAGAATCAACTCTTGTTAGAGCAAACTCATACATAAACTTGAACCTACTTAACGATTCATAAAGAAGGCCTGAGCCCTACTAAGTGGGGACATAAAAGGGCTGATGATGATGATAATAATTAGAGCTTCTTCGTACTTCGAAACATACCTCAAGACGCCAGTCCCGATTGCATTTACAATAATTAACTACTAGCAATGTCTACCGGCGCTGCATGTTGGGTTGATTTCGCCCTCTTGATGCACAAGGCTAGTGCCTCCAATAAGGCGGAACGCTTCATTCGTTTTGACTGTCAATAGATGGCACTACTGTTATAACGAAACCTAAATAAAACAAGCTCTAAAGGTCGTTGCACATCTGACGGAAGGTCCAGCGAGCGTTTAAAGGAAATTATGCGTAAGCACGTTCAATGCGTTGACGAATCATCCGTCGAGTGTGTTAGATTCATTTCTTGCGTGTTGCGTGACTAATAAATAGGCGACGGATGTTACGTTAAGTAATGCGCCGACTCTAAATATGATCGTCCGATACAGGCTTTCCGTCCGGATCGTGTGATAGCAGCTGCCACGCAGCTAGTGAGCGCGGTACTGGGACCTACTTTCATGGCCAAAGCGGAGACTGAGCTCGATCTCGCCGCCATAACTGAAACTCAACTCAACGCCACCACTCCAGCGCTGCTATGTTCCGTGCCAGGATACGACGCTAGCGGTACTCACTTCATACTACTAATGACACCAATTTCACGCTTATATTTAAACTGAAATAGAATAAACGTTTATTTGACACACCACGGAAACTATACTCAATACAATGCCTATTAGAGAAATTGTGTAATATTCTGTGTTGTCACTTTTTTGTTGACGTCGATCGGTGAAATAGAATTGAATGTATAGAAACATAGCGTGTAATATGGACATACATATATATTCAGCATAAGATTGTTATTTTCTAGCAGAAAAAATCCCTAAGCTAATATTCTGAGTCCGCGTAAAATAAATAGCAAGCAATGACTGGCATAAAGATACGTTTGATTGATTACGGCCAGTTGCACAAACGTCCCTTAAGGTTTAATGAAGCCATTAAGCTCTAATGTATGTCGGTTTTGTATGGGTAATGTCGCTTTAAACTTATGAGAATTTTAATGGACGTTTGTGCAACTGGCTGCAAATCAGTTATTCAAAGAATGTTGTCATGTAAATTAAGTTATTTTAAAGATACCTCTCTTATTTTCTTAGTGATGATAAAACGTACAATATGTTTGTTTTGACAAGAACGAGAAGTTAATTACGATATATAACACAGGTCGGGTGGATGATATGGCTACAGAATTGAACAAACCGTTATCCAGCATCGCTATTGGCTCGGCCGAAGGTTTTAACCAAGCCGAGCGTGCCATCAATACTGCTTGCAAATCGGGACGGTAAGTGCAAAATGTATGGGAAAAGTTATAGCGATACCCTAATTGTTCCTATAGTTTTTGATCCCCAAAAGCAAAAGAATAAAAAAATGGCATTTTTTATTTGTTGCTGACTGTACAATTTTTCAAAATCTGTTTTAAAACTATATTGGTTAAGGCACTTGCCCTTACTGTCCAGTGGTCAAAAAATCCTTCCTCTATTATTATTATATCTAATGATCTCATTCACCAGTTTTTGTTAGATTTTGTTGATGTAATTATAAACAAAATTACATCAACAAAATCTAACAGAAAACTGGTGGACGATTACAGAAAACAAAGTCTTAACCAGTGTGCTTGTAACGTTGCTTGTTAAAAGATCCCAATACAGCGTGCAATCCACACTCATTGTATTTGTATGACTACAAACAACAAATGTACTCTAATACTGAATAACGATGCATTCGCAGGTGGGTAATGCTAAAGAACGTCCACTTGGCTCCTGTATGGTTGGTACAGCTGGAGAAGAAGCTACACTCGCTGCAGCCTCACCCGAGCTTCCGTCTGTTCCTCACTACTGAAATTAGTCCAAAATTGCCCGTTAATTTACTGCGTGCCGGACGTATAGTGGTATTCGAACCGCCTCCTGGTATCAGAGCCAATCTTCTCAGAACATTCGCCACGGTGATTTGCTTTTTTAAATTTTGAGATCGTATAATATTAAGTGGAATGGTGTTGTCGAAGCGTTAAGTGATTTTTTACTTCAGCAACAGAATTTGCTTTGTGTTTGAGAGCTATAAACCTTGATACCTCGTTAGTCTTGCTTCACACTGGGATTAAAAATATTTTTGATCACTCAAATTAGGACTCAAAACCAATCTGATTATATTCTAATTGATTTATCTGCAAAGTCTAGTACAGTGTTAATAATACTAATACGTATATAACAGGTTCCTGCTGCACGCATGATGAAACCTCCTTCAGAACGCGCTAGACTTTATTTCCTGCTGGCTTGGTTCCATGGTAAGAATACGATCTATAGATGCGAAAAGCCTCGCATACGCTTGGGTGTATGTCTAGGCATAATATTTTTTCTTCTAATTTTTAGTCACTTATTATAACAAGTTTTTAATCTCTTATCATAATAAGTATCTAGGTAGGTAGATGAATTTTTGATACATTTATACCTATCCAATTAAGTTTTTATACATAAATAAAAATGGACCAGAATCTAAATAAATAAACAATAAATCTAATCTGTAACTATTACAGTTTAATTGATGTCAACTTAGTTATATCAAAACTATTCATATTTGTAAATGATTTATTTTGAAATTATTGAGTGTCACGTGAATATGTTTAGGTATCGTACAAGAACGTCTTCGTTACGTACCTCTGGGCTGGGCCAAGTACTACGAGTTCAACGAGTCTGACTTGCGCGTAGCGTGCGATACGCTCGACACATGGATCGATGCCACTGCTATGGTTCGTATACCACAAAATTTATAGTAAACACACATGTACATAATATCTCACTGTACTCTGATGAGTGAAATAATGACAGTGTGTTTTCTGTAAAGATAAAAATTTTACTAACCTGAACAGTTTTACACGTTTTCCACTTTTATCTTACACGACTAATAGTTTTGGAAATTAATTTACTTTTATACATGAAGAAAAACCGGAAGGGTTGTCATGGAGAAATCAAGAAAGTACCGTAGCCATATCTAGTTTGATTTCGGTAACTAATGGTTTTTTTTAATACTTCCTCATTGTAAGTAAATGTCAAACATGACATCCATAGATTATAGATATTCAATTCTCTGTCTGTGAATTACGTGGCAAAAATAAGAAACGTTATGTAAAGCAATGACACTATGGTTTTCTTTACATGTTTATAGATTAGTAATAATAAGACACTCGATTTCGCTGATAGATTAGAGATAAAATAGATTTTTAGAAGATATGAAATTATAATTTTGCACTTTTTATATTCAATAAACTAGTTCGAATTTCATGATGACACTCGGCAAGCCATCAGATTAAAACAAAATATGTCGCAATCAATTCCAAACTTAATGAATTACAGATTTAGGGTTAAAATAGATTGGAGGAATTTGAGTTTTTTAGAACTAAATGTACTACTGACTGACATACTTAGTTATCTATAGCGAAAAAACACGAAGGAATTGATGACTCTGTAGTATATATTTTTTGGTTTAAGTTGCTAGCTGATCAATCCGAGCGGAAGGAGGCAAACGATAAGAATTTCCATTACACCTTGTATGTGAATAGTATGCTGAAGTTCATTTGGTTTCGTACAAACGATTTTAAAATTCGTTTCATTTGTATTAATTTAGTTTTTCCTATCGCAGAGTCGTACTAATCTGCCGCCGGAGAAAGTCCCATGGGAGGCGTTGGTGACACTCCTGTCGCAGTGTATCTACGGCGGCAAGATAGATAACGCGTTCGATCAGCGACTGTTACATTCCTTCCTCTGCAAACTTTTCACGCCTCGTTCCTTCGAGGCAGACTTTGCACTAGTAGCCAACGTTGATGGCGTGAGTATATGTCACGCATGCTGTTTTCCTGTTTTCTAATATTTAAAGCTTTACAAAATATTTGCGGAATTTCTCAAATTTTATCTATTCGAGCATTTTCTCTTTTAAATTTTATTAGTCTAAGATTGTATGAACTTTTTATGAATGTTCTTTTTCTTCTCCATTTCTCCTTTCCTTTGATGGGAAATATTATGACATTATAATAATAACTCTTTTTTTATTCAGAAGAAAATTATATAATTAAACTTTATCATATTGTTTTTTTATTCCTAAGTTAATCAACTTTACATAATATCTATCGCTTCGTGTTTAATCTTGCCTTATTAGTTGCATGTTTACATTATAAATAAACATATTATTATTTTTGCATGCTTATATCATGTTTTTGTGCTTGTGTTGGTGTGTTTGTCATCTGTTAACTGGCAATAACAACAGTTGCTGCAACAGGCGACCGGTAATCAGCGGCACATCACTATGCCGGACGGCAACCGGCGCGATCACTTCCTCAAGTGGATCGAAGAACTGTCCGATAGGCAGACTCCTTCTTGGCTCGGCTTACCAAACAACGCTGAGAAGGTGAGTTCTATTTGTACTGATTGACTATTTGACATGCGGGGTGACTTATAACGGAGCATCATGTGTCGTCACATTTCAATAAACTAAACGTCAACGTCTTTAATCTAAGTGAACCGGATTCACGCTCATGTTTATTGCAATGTGACGTCATGGCTAGAAATGTCACGTGACTTATTATCTTTCCGGGTCAATTTAAATTAATGAATAAATATACTTAAGAAAATCGAATAGTGATTTAATATGATCAGTAGTTTAAAACAGTCAATAACTATTTCTCTAAATAAAAGCTTTTTAGAAATAATTATAGTAGTTAAAGCGATTTCAGTAGTCTGTGCCATGCCATATTCAATAATGCTCTGCAAACTTTTCAAATAAACTGCTACTTGCTTCTGATAATTTATTCATTGTATACGTGTTTACGAAAGGAAAATTTCACCTACTCTTAAATATCTAATCAACATCAATTGAAATATTATTTAGGTACTACTAACAACCCAAGGCAGTGACCTTGTATCAAAACTATTGAAAATGCAACAATTAGAAGACGAGGAAGAGCTCGCATATAACGCTGCTACACAGGACGATCGTAAGTATATTGATACAATCTGCTCGTTTATATGTGGACATACAAATTTTAGAAACATTTGATGTCCTTCTAAAGGTTTTAAGTATATAAAAAAAAAAAACTATATATGTTAAATAATTTACTGTAACAGTCATATAATTCTCAAGATATTTTACTGATTTATTCTTATCTGTCTCCAGGAGATAAAGTAACAGGAATAAATTTAAATTTCTTCTCAGGTTTAAATATAAATAATTTAAATCCCGTTTGCTTCTTTAACAATCCAAAGAGCTTTTGCCAACATAGTGTCGAAGTCTGATTGAAAAATATTTATGTAATATTGCTCCAATATTTATACCAGTTACTCAAATATTTTGAAGTACATTATCAAATAATTAATGTTCTAATTAACACGTTATTATTTCAGATTCGATAGTGGTAGAGGGCGACGGGCGGCCCGCGTGGATGAAGACATTGCACCAGACCGCCACTAACTGGTTGCAGCTGTTGCCGCAAGAGCTGCCCGTAAGATATTTTACTGCTTTCACACACACACTAAGGTTTGAGACGTGCTTACGTCTCAAAGCGCTCTCAAAGCATTTCAAAGTCACTTAAACAGGTTTTCGTTTCTGATTTTATTTTTTTTAATAATCAGTTGGTAGCAATTTTATAAAACTAGGACTTTTTGCCGTGTAAAATGTAAAAAACTTAAGTTATTGAGAATAATCAATTGAAATTTGTACTTTTCTCAATTCAGAAAGCGGCCGTCAATTCCCAGTTTGTTACACAGTTGATATTCCTATTCCTACACTTTTCTCTCCTAGTCCAAGAATATTAAAAGCATATGTTATATTGGTTAAGTGCAGCAAAATGTTACATTTAGCTGAAGCTACTGATGGATGACGCTTCTGTACTTTCAAAACGGGATTTAGATTTTTTGAATATTTGATGTCTTTATTGTTTTTCCGATTTTATCAAAGTCACTTTCCTTTTTAATTTTGTGATTCTTAGGGTTCCGTAGTCAATCAGGAACCTTATAAGTTCGTCATGTCCGTCAGTCTGTCTGTCCGTCGGTCGGCGGTTTAGCTCAAAAACGATTGGTATTAGAAAGATGTAGCTTAGCATGAGTGTATACGTTAATCACACCAAAAAAGTGGAAAAATTTTTTGGTTTCCTTCCCTACATCTAAAGTTCAGGATGTTATTTTTTTATTCTTCCATTGAGATTGAGAGACGTGGGAAGACCATTTTTCAATTTAGTTAACTGTTAAAAGTGTCAAATTTGGTTAGAGTCAATGTCCCCCTCCCCCCACCCTCCTCTACCAACAAACGTTAGAAACAAACAAAACAAATAAATGATATTGAATTTGATGAAATATTTTCTAGGCACGATTCCTCTGCAAGATCTTTTATTTTGCCTTGTTGGATTATTTATTTTGTGCCTATGTTGCTATTGCTACCATATAAAACATTGTTGTTTTTGTTGTATAGACGCTGCGTCGCACTGTGGAGAACATAAAGGATCCTCTGTATCGGTTCTTCGAGCGCGAGGTGGCCGCGGGCGCTTCCCTGCTGCAGCAGGTGCTCCATGATCTACGCAACGTCATCTCTATCTGCCAGGTAACTACACAGAACAATTACTATTCCGATTAAACACGGCACTATTGATTTGCGTTGCAGTATGTTTTAAAGATATTGTTGCATTGTCACATTTTTTGTAACTTTCTTTCTATTGCGTGGATGTACAATGGTCTCTGGTCAAGGACATGCCTACAAGATGTACTGTTATTTCAGTTTGCATATTATCGCCAGGAAGTCATAGTATTATTGTGAAAGTCGTTAGATAAAATTAACTCAACGCCTTAAAATAAAAATCAACGCCTTATAAATTCACAATCCGACTTTATTTACATAATAAAATTACAAAAATAAAACAACAACAAATCCACACTTCTTCGATTTCACAGTTCACGTCACTACTCTCGCTTCACAACACTATTCGATCGTCTCGATAGTTCACTTCACTAGTTTTCGCTTCGAGTTTCACTTCCGATCGCTCTCGATTCAGTGAACTGGTCACTGAAAGAATGCCGGGATGGCTAACCCACCGCGTATTTATAGCGGCCGATACTACTTCTCGAATGTTCTAGGTTAGGACCTAGAACATTTTGCCCCTTTCTTCCCCAGTGACTGTCCCTTTCTCGCACGCCGTATACCTACACGACACGTAGTTTAGACGGTGTTAGCGCGATACAAAATCATCGATGAAACATCGCGCCGCTGTGCTCCGTAACATCATTTTATGAACTTATACATGATACTGAATGAGCTGATTTGAAATTAAATATTTGTATCAAAAGTTTAAATTCTCTTTACACACGAGGCACACAGTCATGCGTAAACACGTCGGGTTACCATAATATGTCAAATTTCACCAGTCGATTTTAAAGTATACCCTTAAAACATTTAAGATTTAAAAAATCAGATGGAGAAATTCGCCAATCAGCACCAACGGACGTGCTGTTCACCTTACATGACACTACAAATATCGATACTTCATATTCACATTACATTTTCATCGTTGGAATCTGTATATAAATACAGATTGTATACAATTTTTGTTTCATGTTCGCAGGGTGAAATGAAGCAGACGAACGAGACCCGCGCGATGGTCGGCTCGCTGGTGCGCGGCATGTTGCCGAGCAGCTGGCGGCGGTACGCGGTGGCGCGCGGCTGCACCGTGCAGCAGTGGGTGGGGGACTTCGCGCACCGCGTCACGCAGCTCGCCGCCGTCTCGCAGGCAGTCGCCGAGCGCGGCGCCAAGCGGCTGCAGGTACAGTACCGCCGCCGCCGAGTGAGGGGGGGGGGGGACGAACACAAAGATACCTTCGAAATCATACAGGTCACCCTGTATAGTAGTGGAACTACTAACCTCAGTGTCAAGTCCTCTTTCTTTACAGAATCTCGCTGTTCTGTTGCATGATGTTTAGACGGCGTGAAATCATTATTTCATATTCGCGCCCCAATTTCTCCCCACGACAGACCACTTCGATGACTATCATTTAAGTTTTCATCTTCACTTTGACGTCTAATCCATAAAAGAATAATTTATCTTTAAACATAAATTTTAACTAAATATATGACCAATATGAATAAGTACAATTTGTTAGCACGGCGTGTGGTGAACTTATAGCACTTACTGACACATTTATATGTATACTCCATTCATTATAGCATTAGACAGAAGTTAAATAAGGTTCTTTTTATGGTATATTTGTGTCAAAATATTAACAATCATGTTACCACTTAAATCCACTTAAATACCAGCTGCTATACTTAACAGTTGTCGTTTAAGCTACCTGTTAAACAAAATTATGAGTATTTGTCTAACTTAAAAGATTTAATAATAACTTTTACAGTAAAAAGTGTTCATCTTAAAGAACCTTGAGAAGCAGGGTTGGATACTCTCGGCACAATTCTCATGTCACTATAACTTTACCAAATTTAAAACGTTGCCCTTCAAAGAACAATGGCCATCTGCCTAACATGCTTGGACTAGTAAAATCGAATAAAACGTAACTTGATGAAACATATGTTATTTTGTTTGCCTATGCAACTAGAACAAAGAAAGACATTAAATATATTTTTAAAAGCTGGGAGTATCGAGTAATTGTGTAATATGTTTTTGAGGTTATGTCGTATTATTTAAACTGTAGCATTTTGAGTTAGAGGTATTACAGTTGAAATATGTAAAGCACACGTCAGATAATGCCTAATCGTAGTCCTAGAAGTGCATACTTTCACATAATACTTCAAACTTGCTCCATATCTGATATATTATTTTTATTGACTGTAAGAAATAAAATCATTTTTTGTGAACCAATGAACATTAAAAAAAATACTAGAATTTTTAAGATTGCTCTCAATAACTCTACTTTTCTATCTTACACTATAACTTATATAAAGTAGTAGTGAAAATACTAATTTCAAAAGGATATAGCAAAACAACATGTTGATTTTTCTTTTCTTTATTACAACTCTAATGAATACCTCATCACGAAATGCTGCAGGAGTAGCTACATTCTGTTCGTGTCTGGCCCATCCAAGATACCAAACTATGGTCATTATATGAGCACAGCACCCCAGTGTACATCGACCAATAAGACAATTACAGCAGTGTTCTCTTATGCCATCTAACCAGGATGTGTCATTATTCTTTAAAATGTACATATAATATTGTTTCCTCCCAATGTCTCGACTTAATTCTACCCCTTATAATTAGGACTTTATTTATATTTAAGTCTAATTCTAATAAATCCAGAAAATCCGGTATTCCTCTCCAGACCTCAATTCTATACTGACCATGGAACCTAGTATGCTCCCCATAATACAGAAGATAATACAAAATCACCGCCAAAGTTACAAAACGGTCTACGTAGAAACACGTCTACACATATTTGTCTAAAAAAGGGAGATCACAATCGATTGAATACTGTAATATCGATTCTTATGAATAATCATTTGTTTTTAATTTCATTATAAATAAACTATTTTCCTCTAAGTAACATCCAATTATATTAGTAATCTAATCTAAGTTTTATAATTTTCACGGATTTATATGGTTAGTAAATAATATAAGATTTGTATCAAATTCGATTAGTCAGAAATAAAATCGATCTTTTCTTTGAAAAGAGAGGGACTTCTCTAGGAATGACATTATTAATAAGATGCGTTCAAAAATAACATAATTTAAACTGCGTTCCAAAAAAATAAAGACATATTTTAGAGAGGATTATCTTTCTATTCCCAGCTTTTAAAAATAAATTGTTGATATATAATAATTACATTCAACTTATACGAGGGTCAAACTGAAAGTTCTTAGAACTGGCCACTTATAAACAATATAATAAAAAAATAATTCTAAAATTTGAAAATATAACTCTTTGCCAATATTACTGAGTATATATTTCATTCATTTGTCATTTGTTTTACGATTTGGCGGCAAATTGAAAATTGTCTGTGTCACGTCATCATGAATTTAACACGAGAAAATTTTCGTGCAATGATTTTTTATGACTTTCGATGTCATTTAAGTCAACAAGAAAGTTATGATAGACTACGATTGGCCTTTCACGATGAAGCCCCATCTCGTGCGACTGTTTACAACTGGTTTAATGAGTTTAAACGTGGTCGCACTAATCTCACTGATGATTTACGTGAGGGACGGCCTTCTACGGCGACGACTGAAGATAACATCTGTGTTGTGCGGCGTATGATAGAGACTGACAAAAGAGTGACCTATCAACAGATTCGGACAAGCTTAGGCATCGGTATGAGTCAAGTGCACAAAATCCTCCACGAACATTTAGCGGTCAGGAAGCTTTGCGCCCGGTAGATACCTCATAATTTGACTGAGGCTCAAAAACTCCATCGTGTGGATTGGTGTCGTAAAATGATTGAAAGATTTAACGGAGGTGACTCAAATGCTGTGTTCGACATACTAACAGGTGACGAAAGCTGGATTTACTGTTATGATCCTAAAACCAAAAGACAATCTGCTCAGTGGGTGTTTCCTTTCGAGGAGTTGCCAACTAAAGTGAAGAGAGATCGAAGTGCGGGAAAAAAAATGGTGGCCTCGTTCTTTGGAAGGATAGGTCATTTTGCAACAATTGTGTTAGAGGATCAAAAAACAGTTTCTGCAGAATGGTACACTACCAATTGTTTGCCACTTGTCTTGGAAAAAGTTCGAGAGAAACGACCTCGCAGTAGGATCCTCCTTCACCACGACAACGCCTCGTCGCACACCGCCAAGCGAACGATCGACTATTTGGCGACATCAAACGTTGAATTACTGGGTCACCCGCCGTATAGCCCCGACCTCGCGCCTTGTGATTTTTATTTATTTCCAAAAATTAAAGAAAAACTTAAAGGAAAGCGGTTTATGAATGCTGAAGAAGCGGTGGCTGCGTATCGCGATGCCATTGAAGAGACCCCTAAGGACGAGTGGGCAAAGTGCTTTTCCCAGTGGTTCCATCGCATGCAGCGGTGTATTGACGTGAATGGACAATATTTTGAAAAGATATAATAAAACTAATAACTGGCTAATGTAATCAGTTTTTGATTTTCTAAGAACTTTCAGTTTGACCCTCGTACTACATTTTGGTGATAGTTCCATCTTGGTACAAGAACTTTTTTTTCTTAGTCCATTTTGACCATTGTTCTTTCCGTAGTACAGCTTTTTTAATTTTGTCAGATTATGATGTATTCATAATAGTCAAAATACGTAATCTGGGATTCTCATTATTTGTGAATGTTATTGCGTTTCTTGTTGTTTTACCGTATTCCGTGATCGAGTTGTTTTCTTATAGTTTTGTTTTATTTGTTATCTTTTTGAAGTTAAGTTTTGCGAAATATGGACGATTCCGGTGCAGGTCCGAATGGCCTACAACAATTACCTCTGACATTTCAGGAAGTTTTTCCAATATCTTAACCAATAATCTAATAATATCTGAATAAATGTTCTAAAAGTAATAATAAAATTTTCATTTTGTTTACCTTTCTTTCCTGGGCATAAATATAAATAAATTCTATTCTAATTATACACTTACAATTAGAATTTATCAAAACAAATAGATAGTTATAGTTCCATATTGGCTTGGGAATAAAAGATGAATTTAGAAAATTCTAGTCTCATCGCAAAAAAAAATGGAAAATTGCCCAACTCTTTCAGACTACTTAACGTTCAAAGTTTCAACAAAACTTATTATATATATTTATAAAATTTGCCTTGAAAATAAAATGTTGTGCACTGCTGCTTCTGTGATCCACTTTTTTCTAATGTTATAATTAATGGAGTATAGACGTGTAGAAATTTCACTATTATTGTAACCCTCGTTATGTTGTGCTATAATATAAGCTCGTTCGGCTTCTGATAAATTACGAAGCCTTGCAGGAATAAAAAAAAAAGAAAAAAAATATAATAATACAATAGTAATTTTTCTGTGAGTTGAACACATTGGCAAAATACTTGATACTTGTCAATGATTATATTTTTAAAAAGATTTTTTTTTTTATATTTGGAATAGTTTTCATTGAAGGTATAATTACGTAATATTATTGCAAAATAATAGCCTGTTGCTGTTATAATAAAGATCAATTTTAACATCATAATTAAGCATTTTATTCCTAGTCTCACTTCATTAGAAAAGTCAAACTTAAAGATAATTCAATTTCACAGAAACTAAAGTAAATATCTAAATCTGGTAGACCACTTTCTTTGCCGAGTGTACATATAACAAACACCATCTTATTACATCATTCAATTTCAGAGTGTACCAGTCTGGTTGGGTGGGCTATTGAACCCGGAGGCTTATATTACAGCCACGCGCCAATGTGTCGCGCAAGCGAACTCTTGGTCTCTTGAGGAGTTGTACCTACAAGTGAGTATTATTTACAATGGTTAGGTTAGACTACACAATGGTGTTATCTGATTTCAAGAGCACATTTAGATAATACTTTTTATAAAATTCTGAAATATATTTAATTTTACTTATTTACTATTACATTTAAGTTTACTTTGTTTAGTTGACATCACGTCAGATTACTATAAATGTCCAAGTCGCTTTAAAATGTTCATGGTCAAATGCAAATTGATTGGGCCTTTGTACAAGTCGGACGAATTAACATAATTTTGGAATTATTAATATATTCTGTTAAAAAATCCTTAAGATAATAAAATAAATCCTATCTTAATAATAAAACTCAATAAATACTTAAAAACAATCAGATAAAAAATAGCCACTAACAGTAACAGTATTACTCAAAAATTTGTTAAAAATATCTAAGACGTAACAGGCGTCGTGCGGGAAACGCGGGGAGAGACAGCTAATGTTTACGTAATAATCGCATCTCAGTAGAATCTCAACAAATTACATTTTACCATTTACCATTGTAATATCTACCTGAAGTCCAATATTATTAGTGAAATGTCTTCCTTAGACATCAAAGTTGACAGATAAATATTAATATTGGACTTCAGGTAGTAGAGGGTACAATGGCAAATTGCATGTAGTTGAAATTTTATCAAGATGCTATTATTACGTAAACAAGCAGAATTCACCTCTAATGGGAACTTATGTAAATTATATATAAATTAAATTGTTTTTAGATAATTTTTCATATAATATTGTTACCAAAATCTTTAACAATGACAAAAACAATGCTGGGAGTGCTTTGTATTATTTGTTAGCCATTGTTTTATTGCCCTAAATTTTAATATTTATATAAATGTAATTGACTTTTTTTGCGTTTTAGCTATGTGTAAATAAATGGAATTATTATATTATTAATTAATTATTGTTCCTTGAGATAAATATTGCAGTACCAGTTTAATAAGTAGTCGTATGATATAAGGTGACGATCCCTGATCCCGGCACCCCGACGGAGAACGCTCAGTCGGAATGGTCGTTCTCAGTGACGGGACTGAAGCTGCAAGGCGCCACCGTGCGCGGCAACCGACTCCTACTCACCAATACCATAATGGTGGATCTGCCGCTCACTGTACTCACGTGGCTACGGTTAGTATACCAACTATTTTGTACTCTATTTGATAGTTATTTAGATTGATAATGTTTGTGGGAGTTCAGTATTCTTTACATTACGGCTTTTTAAATGAGAGAACCTATCGGGGAGTTCTTAGTGGTAAGTGTAAGTTTTACGCTAACACGTTCACTAGTGAGCGCGTTAAGAATTTGTATGGAGATTTTTAGTTCTTGGTAGTTACCGCTAGGGGCGCTTTACCGGATTCCATACTAAAATCTTAACGCGCTTACAATCGACAGTGAACGTGAACGTAAAAAAACTTACACTAAGCGCTCTGTACTAGTCATAAGTTTTTTAACTTACTGTCAGGTAAATACATCATCACTTACTTACCCTATTCCCACTGATTAAAAACGTCTCGATCAGATCTCACATTTACTCTGTTCTTACGCATATCATGGTTCACACAGTCTAACTACCCATCCTCTCTACATTTTTTACAAGCTTTCTGATTCTGATATAAATTACAGTATCTTAACTCATATAATCATGTGATATGCGTTTCCATAAAGTAAAAGATATCACTGGTACTGGTGGAGAGTAAGATAGGGTGTTTTTGACTAGACTTGCTATAACAATTTTTAGGATTCTGTTACTCAAATGTATAGTTATGACGATAACCGTACACAATTTTTTTGCAGCGGTCCTGAGCCAGCGGCTGCAGGTCAGTCACTAACTCTGCCGGTGTACTTGAATAGTGCTCGCTCTGAGCTGCTGTTCACTGTACGATTGCCCGTCGCACCTGGACAGGAACCTCATGCCTTCTACGAGCGTGGCGTCGCATTACTTACATCTACTGCTCTTAACTAATTTATTAATCCACTGCACTTGAAAACAAAGTCAGAGCAACTAATTTTGGCGGCTCTGTTTGGTGACTAAAGAAAACTGTCACAGACTTAAACTTTTAGCTATTTCATGTATTCCAAATATGTGCTTCAAAAGAAATATTTATTTTAAGTTAAAATGTGAAACACTACGAATATAAAACATTTTAACAATATTGTGTAAGGAAAATATATTTATTGTATTGTTATTTTTAGTGCTGAGTTTCAATTACTACATCAAATGTATTTCATGTAATCGTTGTTAATTTCAATAACCACAATAAATTAATAATAATATCTGTTTTTTTATTCCTCATGATAAAACTGATTATAGCATTAGTTTCAATAGTATTAAGAGGTGAGTCAACATCATAATTCAGTGAAATAAAAATTCAAAATATTATGTACCCTAAATCATTTATTATCTATATGAACAAACTTACAATAATTGAGATCTGATATAAACATGAATTAATTTTAAATAAAATTATAGATAATGATTTAACTTACGCTATACTTTATAGTAAATATAACAGCGTGTGCATAAAATTGAGATCTAGATTTGACTTGTACCTTGTATTACTGTCTTTATACCCGGAGGTTTCTGTTTTGGTAATCTGAAACAATATTATCATAAAAAATAATCCAGAACTTCTTAATCTAAGCCGATCATTAGACGAACAATCTGGATCGTGATCTGCAGAGCGATTCCGTTAAAATCCGTACCCGTTTCACTCAGGTGACCAAATTCACTTCGAAAGCGAATCCGCCTAACCTTGAATCGGTATTCACGTTTCGTGGCATGAGCGAAGTGAGTTTCAAAATGACATAGGGATACAATATCTTTTGTATTTTTATATAAAAAACGTAATCCTAAGAATATTGTACATTAATATATTTCAATGTAACGGTCTTCTATACATTATTAATTGTTTAACCTTTAAAAATAATAAAATAAATAAGGTGATTTGTGGCCAAATAGTCATGACAGCATCGCCAGTTTTAGATGAAATTAAGAAATAGTATATAATAGTAATAGTAATAGCTGGGCTTATTGACGACAAAATCTCACTTTTCTTGTATCAAATTCACTCTGCCTCTGACAGTGAGGTAGAATTGCACGTCAGATTAAAATGAGAATTATAATCAAATAATCTGGATAACATGTGATCAATTTCAATCTGGCATCAATCAACACAATACACGATAAATCTGTAGTTCAATTTACGGTCTAGGGAATCTCTCAGAGAAATATTTAAAGAAATAAATATTCTGACTGTTGCCTCTCAATACATCTATGAGAATATTATGTACACAAGAAAAAAAGTAGTGTTCATAATCTTAACACAAGAAATAAAGATAAACTTGCCGTTCCAAGCTTCAGACTTCAAAAAACCAGAGGATCATTTCTGGGTAAATGTATTGCTATGTTCAATAAAGTTCCACAAAATGTAATTGACCTACCCATAAATAAATTTCAAATTCATGTAAAGAATATACTTGTGAGTAAAGGCTATTATAAAGTTGATGATTATTTTAAGGATCGCAATGCATGGAATTAATAGCCTTCGCTTTGTTCTATAAAGAATTATATGTTCAACTTATGTCCTACAGACTTTGAAAGTTGTATTTACTATTGTGATAAATTGATAATACATATTATTTTGGTAATGACATGATTTATGTAAATGTCATTACTTATGATAAAAAGCCGATAAGTTTCTTTCGCTTGTTCTTCTTGTCAGCTAACCCCCGGTTTCAATAACCAAAAAACTATCCGTTTTTGCTACCATCCGTAGCATTTCCTACCGATGGTAGCAAAAAAGTGTTTCAATAACATACCATTGGTAGGTAAAGCTACCGACGGTGTGCTACTAACGGATTGATCTGATACTGATAACCGTTCGTAGGCAAAATGTATGAAAATGGCGCAAACAGGTGTTTCAATATCTTTCGGTAGAGCTGTCAAACTTATCTATCCGTAGCTTATCTGTCAAATTTGCCTACCGGCCATTTTCCGTCGGTTATCGTAAAAATATTTATAAATGACACGTTTTTCCTTGTTAACTAATAGAAAAATAACAGTTTTTCATTAAAAAAATTATATTGTAGAAGAGTTTGATGTGTTTTGTGGTTCCAATTAGAAGAATTTAAGTTGTAATCATGCCAATGTTTGTACCTTTAAGGGCTCATACTACCAATTAATCATTGCTCCAGACGCTTTCTATAATATGTTTCTGTTGAAAAACTTGATGATTTACCTCTATATAATTATGAAAAACCTTGTTCTGATGAAACTGAATTTGCCACCTACTTGTACCAAACTTATACACGTTACATTAGTTTATACCCTTTATTTTTTATTAAACACTGATATTGATTTAATTCTTAATAAAACCCAATTTGGATATAACTTATTTATTTTACAAATAAAAAACAATTCATAAAAAACTACATAATTTTTACATTATTCCATTGCATTTTTCTACGTTTGTTTTACGATTTGATACAATCATTCCACCTTCTAATAACCATTAATTTATCATCCTATATCAATAGATCACAATTGTTCACTGTCAAATTCATTAATGTTATCTTGCAAATTCAATATGTATAGTACAAATCACTTTATACAATTAACAATTTATAATAAAGGTGAACTCTATATAAAATTCCCGCTAAGCTTCTACGGAACATAAATCAACTTTACTTTTTGGCATAATTAAAGGCAAAGGGATATAGCACATACAACCTAGTCTAGAGTGACAATATTCACATTGAGGTTCACTTGGACGTTTTAAATGCTTTTTTTGGAGCAAAAATTGAAATATATTAAAAAATGGTGAGGTATGTTAAAGTAACACGTTCGCGTTCTTGTACCTACTAAATTGACAAAACACTGCTCATAACCATGCACCGTACCATTTCAATGAACTGTGTATTGCGCACGTTTATTTATATTCCGAAATTTAATTCGAGATAAAAAAACTTATATAAACAAATGATGTTATTTTAGGGGTTGCAAACATTTTCCAAAAGGTTCTAATTATAATTTTATTTTTGCAAATAATAATACGGAAATAAGATGTATAGTCTTATTTTTTATCGACTTCGATGAAAAAGAAGGTTTCTCATTCTAGTGTAACTAATTTTGTATAACAATGTGGGGATAAAAATGTAAGATTTGTTGACATTATCCTATAGGAATTTCATTACTTTTTCAATTTTAAGTACTTTAAATTGTAAATCAATATCGAATAAAATACTTGTACAGTAGGTGGCAAATTCAGTTTCATCAGAACCAGGTTTTTCATAATTACATAGAGGTAAATCATTATGTTTTTCAAAAGAAACATATTGTAGAAAGCATCTGGACCAATAATTAATTGGTAGTAAGAGCCCTTTAAGGTACAAACATTGACATGATTACAACTTAAATTCTTCTAATCTGAACTACAAAACACATTAAGCTCTTCTACAATATTATTTTTTTAATGAAAAACTGAAAAACAACTTCGACAACTTCGAGAGCGAGGTAAATGGAAGAGTTCGGCTAGGTTGGGCAGCATTTGGGAAACTACGTCAGGTCTTTACATCGTCGATCCCGCAGTGCCTAAAGACAAAAGTCTTTAATCAGTGCGTCCTACCCGTTATGACATACGGAGCCGAAACGTGGACACTGACGGCACGGCTGGTCCACAAGTTGAAGGTCGCTCAGCGCGCTATGGAAAGGGCTATGCTCGGCGTTTCTCTGCGGGATCGAATCAAAAATGAGGTGATCCGGCAGAGAACCAAGGTTATCGACATAGCCCACCGGATTAGCAAGCTGAAGTGGCAGTGGGCTGGCCATATTAGCCGCAGAACCGATAACCGTTGGGGTAAACGAGTTCTTGAGTGGAGACCGCGTCTCGGCAAACGTAGTGTAGGACGTCCTCAGGCGCGGTGGAGCGATGATTTGCGCAAGATGGCTGGCAGGAGCTGGATGCGAACAGCCGAAAATCGAAATAGATGGCGTGAAATTGGGGAGGCCTATGTCCAGCAGTGGACGAATATGGGCTGATGATGATGATGATGATGAATGAAAAACTGTTACTTTTCTTTTAATTAACAAGAGAAAACGTGTTATTTATAAATATTTTTACGATAAATCATACTAAATAAAAAAAAGTTTAGTCAATGAGCCAAATGTTCCGAATCGCTGTTTCTTGCCTGCAGCATAAAATATTTCTATCCTATTTTTATCTAAAAAAGGACTTTTAGTTCAAGTAAAAAAATTACTAAAAACTTTTAAAGAGATAAATTTAAGCTATTTGTTGTAATGGTAACTCTTTTGTTTACATCAGAATTCCATTTCAGACGATAATTTGTTTCACAATAACACCACTTTTAAGAACCTAACCATATAATAAATAAGTCATAATAATTCCAAAACAAATTTCAAATTTAGTTTCGATACGTAATCAGTTCACCTCTTTCCTATTGATGTCTCTGTCTTCCTTCTTACGATTTCGATTTTGTCCAAGAAATTATTAAATGTAAAGACCAACATTTCAGTATAATCATAATATTACCTAAGACAAGGCTGTATGGAAAGAACCCTTTTCCTCGAATTATATGATTACAATTTAAAAAAATGAGCTACCGACAACCGTTCGTAGTTGATAGGCGCCTACCGATGATTGTGAAACGCAAAAACTAATGTTTGTCGGTAGCTCAAAAAATGGTCGGTAGCTGCTACCGATGGTTGTCGGTATATTATTGAAACCAGGGGTAAAAGACGTCCTGAACAAGTGGTAGGGGAAAAAAGTTTTTTGGACGATTCAAAAGTGCTTGTAATAGCCTACTTGAATAAAGATATTTTTATTTCATTTCATTTCGCAACAAAAGTCTGTCCTCTCTTTAAAATATATTAATATTTCAATTTGTCACAGTGAAACCAAAGAATGATTAATATTTCTAAGTTTTCACACAATTATACCTAATAAGTGTTTTAATTCTTTTTAACTAAAACTTTATATAGGATCTTTACTCTTTAGATTAAAAAAAAATATTTATTGATCATGCATATCCAGATAGATTAAAAAAAAATATTGATCATGCATATACATAATAGATAGACATGCATAAAATTTAGATATATTTTCTTTTATTTCCTCCTCAAAATTTAAAATTATATAATTTTGTTGTCTTTTTATGTGTAAAGGCCAATGAGATATTAGCGGAATCGTGTAAACGCAGTTAGGCCATAAATTAAAAAAGAAACGGAAGAAAATGTTTATTGTCTTAGACAGATAAATGTCGCCCAAAAATAATTTCATGTTAACTCTGCCAAATAATAAGTTTTATTTATTATTTCATTTTTTAGTTTAAAACAAAATTTCTTTAGTAAAATTTGATTATCATGTAATAAATCCCGCAATTTACTGTAAAAATGGTGTTTAAACAGCACGGTAGCAACAAATTTATCATACTAGCAACTGTATTGGTTTTCGATTGCTGAGTCGTTGAGTTTGATCCTATCGAGTTGAAGTTGCATCCGAGCATCACTTCATTTCGATAAGACTTCGATCGAACGGTTCATAAACTTCAGCATTATTTGGATTATTCATAGTTAAGTGAATTGGGCTACTGATCAAGATCAGAGATTGATAAATAGTAATAAATGAATAAAAACAATATCCCAAACATTAGTCAGATTCCAAGATGAGTAGCTAATACCCCTTATTATGGAGTATCCGAGACACCGAAGATACCACAACACCCAGTCCCCGAGACAAAATAGGAAAGTCCATTTTCTACATTAACTTGACAGGGAATCAAACCCAGGACCTCTGAGATAGCGACACCTTGATACCGACGTGCGAACCATTCAGCTATAGGTCGTCAAGACGCCAGATTGATCATCTAATGGCCCGTAATTAGGATGACTTTAGTTAAATGTAAAAATACCGAATGGATATTATTTTCCTGGGTGATGAAGGGTGTACGAGGTCGTACTGACGATCCCAATCCATATACTTCTGATGCTGCCGCTGCCTCCTGCGGTCCACGTAACTTATCTGTGTGAATATTGTAACAATTTATTCATAACGATTGGACAAACCCTCCTTCAAAAGAGAAAGAGGAGTGCTTAATATATAATGTGTACTCTTGAGCGATCGATCCCAAGTAAAACAATGCGGGACGCTCGTTTTGTTCTAATATTTATTAAAATTTTCATGTTTATTTTTATATTAGTAAACTGTAGGTATAGGCATATTGGCAAAAAAAAACAATCTAAAACCTCCGCGTTGAGTAGGTATGTTATAAGTTACAATGTGTTTAAAGACATCTTTTATATTCCTTAAAATAATTTAAAATTTTCCTCGCTAGCTAAAAGTTTCACCCGTGTCTATTCATATACTAAGGTAGACTAACCACACAACTAGCGGGGATCCACACTAGCGCAGTGACTAGCACCACCACGCCCACGATATTGTCGCGCAGGAATCCCAACACGTTGTTGATGTTTATGTCCTCAATTATGTCCCAAAACCGCTCCACTACATCCTGGATTGTTTTCTCGCATACGCCCTACGTATAGAAAAAAGAAAAAAAAAAGTATTTTTACCACATCTTCAAGTCTTTATTATGTTAAAACCAATGAGACATCCAATATTTATGAGGTTGGAAACTATGTTGTTTAACTTGTCTTCGATATTTACTTTGGATTTAGTGAATGAAAAAAAAACCAAACTTATGATCAGAGAACCCATGGAGAACATCTTTGATGTATTTAGTGATACTCTTATTTTTATCGTCCATTATATAGTTTATATAGTCAAAATAGTTAAAGCGCTTATCAAAGTCTTTATTCTAAGTTGTATTTATTGAAAGTTTCCCAAACATATAATAAGTGTCGCCGTTATAATTAGTGTGAATAAGATTCGTGAAGATTGAAATTATTATTTTGTAATAACTGCCGATCACAAATACGCAAGTAACTATTTATTTTACCTTATTACAAAATCCTTGGATGCAAGGTGTTCCGTCGGGCAGGATGTCGTTATGGGCCACAGGAAAACAAGTTTTATTTAAACTTTTTCGACAGCAACGCTTGCATGCGTCCGCAACTGAAATGATAATATACGATTTAGAATTCGATACACTTTTAATTTTATTTAATCCAAAAGTGTCAAATACATTGAGCGTTAATTTGTTATCACAAAAACAAATCTTTTTTCTAGTAATTTTGTGTCAGCCCATCATTTAGTCTTCAATCATTTACTGGTTCAATAAATTGCTGCTATGGTTTTTATCTCAATTATACAATTATATTTTAATTGTATAATTGAGATAAAAATCATATCGCTTCTGTTATATCTATTAACTTTATCCAAGAACGAAAATTCGAAAAAAACTAGTGTCCGACCGAAGGTCTATTTTTGGCCGAAGCCGAAGCCGAAGCCGATTAATCGGCAATCGCCACAACCTTCGGGAAAAGCCGAAGCCGAAGCCGATGGTTTATAATTTCTCAGTAATTAATTTTGTTCAATATTGTCTACAAGCTACAATAAATATTAAGATTATTTCAAAACTTCAATATTGAAGGTTATATTGACTGTCTCATATAGAAGTTGATTTAGAAATACAGATTTGACAGTGAAGGCGCTTGATTACACTGAATTTTCATGTCCGGCGGTCCGATTTTTTGCGGCCTGATATGTCAGGCCATATGTAGGTAATGCTAGCCTGTGCACTGTCAGGAATATTTTTCCTGTCTTCTACGTCTTCGCACGTACAGTAATAGAGCAAGCAATTACCAACGTTTCAAAAATCGCATAGTGCCTATTGCAAGTGACGTGTAGCTTCACAGAGAGCTACCCTAAAATGTGCCGCTCCGATCCGGAAAAAAACGGACAAGTGCACAAGCTACTCATCCGAGTTTTTCATGTCATTCGGGACCGGAAAAAGTCGGCTTGCCGGACCTGAAAATTCATTGTAGTGCACAAGCGCCCTGACTCCTCGCGGCCTCTGCCAACACGACCGGTCCATCGCTCTCTCACTCAGTCTTTCGAAACAGTTCGTTCAATCTCGACGGTAGCTCGGACCTTCGGCGAAACCTTCGGCTTCGGCCTAGTTTTGGGCCGAAGCCGAAGGTTTCGCCGAAGATGGTTTTTTTGGCCGAAGGTGCCCGATGCCGAAGCCGAAGCTTCGGTCGGACACTAAAAAAAACCGACTCAGTCTTACAATTTTATTAAAATCATACCGGTGAAGATTATCTGTGCATAATAATAAATTATTGAAAAATTAGTTTCTTTAGAATCATATCAACGTGTCGAACATAGACGAAATTCGTTTTCGGTAAAACAAGTGTAGATCTTAACTTACAATGGGATTACAGCATGTAGTACAAGTATCACCACGTACCTATGTCACACATGCAGCTATGTAAACCTTGCGTCTCGCAGTACGGTACGCATGATCCATTACGACATCGACCACGTTCCGCACATTCGTGTTCGTCAGCTATCGCCGGTGCCTGATAACAATTAATTAGCCTATTAATGTCGCTACATCGTTACGCCACAGAATATTATGTGGTCAAGCGTCGCATGACTGCTGGAAGTCGACTCATGATTAGATCAAGAAACTGAAGGAGTCGTCTACCATATACATCAAAAATAGTTATTACCAATCCATAAAAATAACACGCCGAGACTTCCTAGTGAGTAATGACAAAAAAGAATGACTCTCAACTTCTTAATTAGTCAACAAAGATTTCTTACAAATTTTGATGAAATATAATCCTTACCTTACTAATCTGTAGTTAAGTAAGGTAAGTGTGCCTATGTGTGCCTTGCATATTGTGTGGTATGAATATGCATATTCATTTATATTGACCAAAGGCAAGCCCATTCAATGTAAAAAATACAGTGTAAAAAAATTATCACTGAATTTTTTTTCTATGTATGTATTAATATCTCAAAATATAATTGCTTTTATTTGCTATTTATTACTGCAGACAAATAAACCGAAATAGGTCATTAACCTTCAGGTTAACCTATTATATAGCAACATGTTAGACATATTTTTTGTTAGTGGTTGTTAAAGAGACCAAAAACATGAATACGATTTTAAATTCACTACAAATTTCCTTATAAGGGTAAGGGAAAAGAAAATGTGAGTATGATTACAAATTTCCCTCTACCTTGGGACAGTCAGCGGAGGCGCCGTTACACGTGGCCTCGCCCTCGCACGCGGAGTGCGCCGCCTCACGGCACACCACGCCCGGCGGAGCGAACACGCACCCCGCGCAACATGGCGAGTTCTTATCACTGCACCACACATGCATTCTTTACAGCATACTGAATGCCAAGCTTATTTATAACATAATGGAGCCTTTCAAATATTGTTTATATCTGGTTTTATACACCGTGTTTAAAAGTATTTTAATAAATAATTTAATTAACATTAAGAACGGTCGGTATGGGAAAGTCTGAAAAGACACCAGATTTGTTCTTAAGAACTGTGTCATCGATTTTGGTAAATTATCTGTGAAAAGCTGTAGAAAAATGCCTTCCTGCGTGTTTTAACAATGCACAAATTACACATTAACAATGAGAAAAGTAAAAAAGATATCATTTAATGCGTAAGTACAGTACATTCTCCTTTTTATTTTAATAAAAACAATAAAACGTCATAGAACGCGGCTATTTTTTTCTGCATCATGTTCTACGACTAGGGGAGATTGGTACGTAAAGTTAAGAACGTATGTTTATCTCGTTCTAATAGAAGGAATGCTGTATGATTCTGATCCCTTTGTTCTTCGCTTCGCTCCCTTTGTGATAGTACTATAATGTAACGCTACCACAATAAAGTTTACGTCATTTTAAAACGCAATAATGTACGGGTATGACGTATCTAATAATAAATCGTCATTATGAAGGAATGCTTGTTCTTATTACATTAGATTAGTACCTTACCTACAAACAGCTCCTTGATTTTTGCGTAACTTGCAGTTTTTATCACAGCACATGTCATTATCTTCAGTTCCTATAAAATAAACCAAAACTTAGAGACCTTCATAACTTTGTACATCAACATTATGAAGCTAATAATACAATTCGAATATAGGCAGTAAGGTTGATTCTCTTCTACGTTTTGCAGATGTTTGGAGATCGATTAAGATATATTCAAATTCAATTTTTTTATTTCCAAGTTTGGTTATTTACTATCTCTCTATTAGTCTGTTTATTTACGGTTAAGGTTAGCAAGATAAATCATGTAAAGTATATTTCAATCATAGCATGAAAACTATCGAACGCGAATAGAAATTGAAACATATATTACCGCGAACTGATTATCAAATGTTGCATTATGGCAAAAATAATACCGTTAAAAGCTGTTATGTGTAAAATTTCACTTCCTCGTAACTCTTCAAATGGCCAAAACCATGTCATAATGTTTATATGCCCAAAACCGGGTCATCTGCCCTATTTGCGAAGCGGAATAGTAACGATACCTAGTAAGCCCGCGTCACATTCTTCACCTCCTTCAACCCTCAAGTTCCCGCAGAAACTCTCCTCGGGCTCTGAGAAACAACGTCCCGACTTCGCCTGAAGCACCTTACGAATGGATCGTAGACTACACGGCGAGAATCTCTGTTAAAAACACACATACAGTTTATACTCTCATTTATAGTTCATAATGTACTTTATGCACTACTTAAAGACTTCCCAAGTGCAAACATTTCTAAAACAAAGTTCTGCGAACAGAATCACTGAGGGTGTTGAAGTAGTATACTACATTGCACACAAATTCTTTTTCAATCACTAGAACTCAGCCTGATATTGTGACTGTAATATGTTACCTGCAGTGATATCATATAAAAATTCCTCGTCACGGTGACACAGGTTACAGTGGAGTCAGCATATAAATAAAAGCTAGTAACGGTGCGTCGTACTACACCGTTTATTTTGTCCTGGGTTACCGCATCCAAACTATTTGTCTTTGATCTTTAACATCATTTATTTTTTATTATTATTTTATTTGAAATTTAATATTTTGAGTAACGCGATTGTATAACCGTCATAAATGCTAGTTAAGTGTCATTTAAAAAATAAATGTTTTTATTGTATTTATGACATTGACGTGACTTGATTAAATAAATAAATAAATTGAAGAATATTACAGGCAATCTTGTTTCGTTCGACATAAGAACCCCAAGTTGTTATTACCTTGTTGTTGACGTCATACCCGCTGACGCTGTACGTGTACATGAGGTAGGAGCCGCCCTGGCTGGCGGCGGGCGAGCACTCGGCCACGTCGGGGTCGTGCTCGGAGCCCCAGTTGTGGCCGAACTCGTGCGCGGTCACCAGGTCCGCCTCGCGGGTTATCACACGTTGACCGTAGTGGTTCCGGGATGAACTCAGACCGGAGTTCAAGTATAACGTGTACCCGTTCTTGAAGTACTCTGCACGTATACGATCGGGTTTAGATTGGCACAATGTTGCATTATATGAAGCTAGCCGGAATGCCGCTTAGAATTAATAATCTGAATTATCAAAACATCATATGAGTCTTGAGTTATTATTTTTTCACTATAATATGAATAAAAAACGCGGTTATTTATTCGTAATAATAAAATTAAGTTTTTCTGAATTCTTATAAATTCATAGAGATATTCCAGCTCGAGACTAGTTTCAGTCAATTGAACATGCAAGCGTTAATATTTTCATATTTTTTTAGACTATAAAGTTTTACGTTCATCATAGTGAAAACAAAAATTAACTGTAGGTATATATTTCAAAGGCCAGCAGATGCGAATTGGTATCATGGAGAGAACACTGTTTATTTTGGTTTCTTTTTTTATTTTAATGGTTGTATATAACCAGTGAAAAAAGTCAATATCTTCGAAATCACATAATCAGTGAAAATAAATGATTAAATACAGAAAAAATAAACATAAATTATAATCTATGTGATTAATAATCAGACCCGTTTTATCAACGCCGAAAGTCATTCGAATATGATGATTTTAAATAAAATGTGTGGTATAAAAACAAATTATTGTGATTTTCTATTCCATGTATATAAATAATATAACAAAAACATAGCGTGTATATATAATATTAAATGTAAATTGAGTCTTAATTCTTATACATAAGTAATAATTAGGATTACGCAGTGCTACGTAACTCGTAATGTTGTAAAACGGGCCTCTTATTTTATGAAAGCACAAAATAACAATAAATAAACTTAATGCAAGCAAAGCAGGACAAAAACACTTACATAATGGCGGAATAAGGCTGAAAATAAATTAAAAAAAAACAATTAAAATTGCATAATAACCAACATAAAAATACGATATCCAAAACCAATTATAGTATGTAAAATTATAAAATCAAAACGAAAATTACAATAGTTTATTCAAAATCATAATAAGAAAATAAAATAATTTATTCATGTCTTGTGTCACGCTATTCGACAGAAATCAGTATTATAGAATATTTCTTAATTTCTTAATGCATTATTTACAATGATCGTCTGAGTCCACATGAGAAATGGTGACCTCTGCGGGTTACTTTGCAATCAAAGAACATTGGACGATTATTAGTTTAAGAACTAAAGATATAAGGGAGGTCTGAAGTCACCCACACTCTTCATACGGTAAATTTGGTGGCTGACCTGGGGCGCGTCCACCTAACTCATGGACGTAGCCGTAGTCGTAGCTATAACCTACGCTTTATAGGTTTTCAGAGAGTCATGTACTCTGTTTCTATTTTCGAAAAAGCCTCGTTTGTATCAATTCGACATTTTGTAAATTTCCCTTAACTTTAATAATTTAGTAAACAAAGACAACCAAAAGCATTGATTAAATATGTAAATAATAAAAAACTATCAATTTTTAAATAATATAAACAGATTCATGTGTAAAACCTATAAAGCGTAGGTTATAGCTACGACTACGGCTACGTCCATGAGTTAGGCGGTCGCGCCCCTGATATATTAGTCGATAGGGTGAAAAATACAACAAAGAGTCATCAAACTTAAGATCACGCTCTCATTCGGTTTGATGGTTAATAGTTGTCTCTAGTGTTCTAATTTGATAGTTTTATTTTGTTTACCAATGAAGATATTCATATTTTATATATAAATGTTTTTATTTAAGTAGCAGCCGTTAGATTTTGATTTGTACTGATTGAAATGTAGATTTCGTACCGTTATTAGTTTAAAATTAAAAGTGGTTCAACTTTATTGAACAATAACTATTTAATAATTTACATAATAAGCGCTACACATATCATCAATTACAAACGAAAATAAACATTAACATTAGATACAATAAAAAACTAACGCCATCTCTTGACAGTCGAAGTAAAATTCCGCCTTAGATTCATATAGTGTTATCATTAACACGGTGCACGTGCTCGTTTTAACAGCTATGCTATCATTCATTCTCGAACATCTCGTCAATTGAAGAGTTTCAATAAAATAATACCTTTACTAACTTTTAGTGGGTTTTATTTAATTGGTTACGTCAAAAACCTCTATGACGTGAGCACTGCGTTAGACGAGTTCTAGGAGTCAGGAATTGGCTACTTGACACTTATACCAATAAATTATGAAGTATGTTGGACATAGGCACTTATACGTAAACAATACTGTTGTATTATTTTAAAATAAATTATAAGTATATTTTACTTTTATAAAATGATTACTTGTGGTTTATAACATGTGGGCTCTCGTAGAACTACAACGTGGGCGGCCATACCGGAGTATCGTGTGACATTGTAATAAACTAAACGACATCGTCTGTGTTACGTGTGCAACCAGTACTCATGTTTATTGAAATGTGACGTCACGGCTCGAAATGTAACATGACTGTTTCTTTTCGCGGGGCAATTAAAATTCATAAATAAAAATATGTCTTTACTTTAAAATCTGATAATGGTTTAATATGACCGCATGAATATTTAAAAACATTTTCCCCAACAACAAATAGCCAATAGGGAATATGCGTCTTATTCAAAAAAGGGTTAAATATATTTTATTACAATTGTTATTGCTTTAGAATAAAGTCTATCTAAATATATTTCAACATTAGTTCGTTTTCGTCTTGAAAATAATTATCAAGAAGTGCAAAATAAATGCGGTAACTTCAAAATATTTAAACGCCATGCAAATAGAGTCAGAGCGGATGTGACGAAAATGTACACGTATAGGGATGGCGTTGTTACAAAAATTTTACATCGATGCAATAATATCAATGTATTATCTCGCAAAATAAACAACTGATTACAATTTAAATGATGTTTTAGGCTTTTATTTTTATTTCACCAATTTGGTAAATTATATAATTTATTAAAAAAAGTCCGTTATATTTTATAAAATCGATGAGTTGTTAATCGATTTGGGTAATTGAATAATAATCAGCCCACGCAAAATCCATATTGATTTATAATGTCATATCTCTAGTCGTGTACTTTGACGTCACGACGAGTGCGCCAAAAATTCCGGTGTTTAAACTGCTCGTAACTATTACTTATTTTCATCAATGATTAATGTAAAAAAAAAATAGTTTATCGGTGGCGGGTATTTTTTTACAGTTATATATCGATGTAAATTATCATATAAAAACATTTTCCAATAATGCGCATATTCCCTATTATGACAGTTTGATATATTATATTCTAACCTGGAGTGCATATCCCACCGACGGAGTTGCGTCGAGGCGAACCTACATAAGCAAGTCCCAAGATGCCCCCCTCGAACTTCAGATCAGTGAACAGGTGCGCTAAACAGAAGTCCTTGTGCGAATACTCACGACTAAATACCTACAAGCAACAATTTCACGATCAATATTTAAGCATTATTACTTGTTTCTTTGTAAAAATATTTCTTCCAGCTGTTTGGTTGGATTGCCTGAACATTGATGAAAATATGCTCTGTAGTAGCGTATAAGTAACAAGTGCATCAAAAATTCGTCAGTCCTGTTAGGTCCTGGGTAGCTCAGTTGTTAGAGTTGCCCAGATTGCGAAAGGTTCGAATCCCATCTCAGAGTGGCAGGGACAAAGTAATTTTTTTAAGCATTTTTCATTAAAAATGTTGACTAAGGGATATTAATTTTTTACTTATTTTAATTCGTCAAACTGTAAATTCTAAAATTTGCTTCTTTCGCATCCTTCTGCACGTTCGTTAGGATTAATGTATTTTGAATTATTATAGTTTTCAAATAATAATAGAAAATTAAATACATACTTCTAGTAAATTGCGCACATCCCATTTCTCCCGTACCATGTTATAATGCGCTTCACCGCCTCGGACACGCGTTGGTTCTGAGTGAACTAAAATTTTCTTGATCACGAAACCCATACCTTTGAAACCATCCATATCCTGTGTATCAAGTGCAAAGAAAATTAATAATTTTATATAATAAAGCACCAAATTGCTTCACAATCGATAGAAGGCCCAAAAAAATATAACTTCTTTTTTACCTGACGATCTTGCCAAACTGTATCATTGTATATTTTGTGAACTCGATCAATGAGACTTATCTGAAATATAAGGTTTATGTTAAGCGAAGTGTTAAAGATATTGAATGTTTAAAAATAAGATTATTGATAATTTGTTAAAAATATAAAAAATTTCAAGGTTTAAATTTTATATTCAATTTAAATTCGGCGACAAAACGACCAACCTATAATGTCCGCCATATTATTACGTCATTCCTTTGTGTACTTATCTAACTGCAACATGGCGATCGTGAGGTTTAATAAGAATAATAATAAACAAGATATTTTAATTCACAGCTTTTTAAGCCTTATGAAGATCACAATTCGATTCCTTTATAATTATAAATGTGTTGTACGAATGTAGACTCACAAGTTTTGACAAAGACAATAACAGTGTTATTAATTAACAAGATTTAGTGTTGGAGTAAATTTAAGCTGAGACTGCAAAATACTTAGTATTAGTCAAAATTCATATTATTAAACAGAGACTTAGCAAAGATTAACCTAGTACGAGTAATATTCACTCCTAGAAGGTAAGTTTGTTCTCTGTACAATATGAAATTGAACTAACACTAAAATTGTAATTTTAGCGTAAATTTACTTTGACGCTAAACCTCGTTTATTGATAGCACTGGAGATGATACATTGTTATGACGTCACACGCTCTGAACCTATTTATTAAAAACTACTAATTTGAGAGTAATAAATAATGGATATCTTTAATTTTTACATTATTTTAATATTGATCAGTCTTAGCAGACACATACCAAATAACTAATGGTAGATTTCGTATTGCTGGAACCCATTTCTTGGAAAAATCTGTAATCTGCTACAAGTAATAAAGGGCATCTTGTTTTGGTAGGTGTGTATTCATAATCACTCTGTCTTTTCACTCTCTTATTATTATTATTTTCTTTTTGTTTTAAGTGCATATTTGTATCATAGGTATTTAAATCTGTCTGGTTCAGGTATTTTTCTTTTTCAGATTTTTCATATTTTAATTCTATATCATCAACTTCAGCATCTTCATCTTCCAACTCTGTAAAAACAAAACAGATTCTTGTTCTCTATTTAACTATAAGCACATCAGATTTTACTGTCACTTTTTGGAATAAATTTCGAAATTTATATGATAATTATGAAGATCAAAACCAACAAAACCTTGAGATAGGATATTCTGTAGAATAATATATTAATGCATTAACAAAAACATATTACTAAATAACTATTTAACACTAAGGAACTTGCCAAAAATTTATTAAAAATGATATAACCTAATTTTCTTATATAATTTTTAAACAACTTTTAAATTTAAATTGTAGTCGAATGACCTAGCCCATCTTTCTAGTGTTAACAATGAAATTATATTTTTGTTACACAATTTTAGTATTATTCAGTAACCGATTATACTAATATCATACATCAATATATGAATATCTATTTACTAACTAAAATGATAAAGAAAAAAGATTTGATTGTTTGTATAAAATAGGTTCCACATCTACTGGACCGATCTTTAAAAGTCTTTCACCTACAAGTCGCTAGATCATACAGGAATGACGTAGGCTATAAAAACGAAATGAAAACAGCTGATATTAAATAAATATTATTCAGGTATTGGTATAATAAAGAACAATATATTTTCAGTGCAACCAATAGTCATGTTATAAATGTGAATGAAACTAACCTTTACCCTCTTTTACGTAACCGCACACCCGAGGTTTACCGCCAGCAGTATGATCCCCCCAACTAAAGCGGATGTCTGACGAACGATAAGTGATCATGGTTTTATCATCATGACCTGGAATATGGCGCCATGAGGGCTGAAATAAAGAACACTGCACTTAGTATTAGTCAAAATTCATATTATTAAAGAGACTTAGCAAAGGTTAACCTAGTATGAGGTTCTAAGGTAGTAATATTTACTCCTAGTAGGTAGTACATAGATTTGCTTATTATCTGTAAAAATATTATGAATTTGGACTTATGCTAAAATGGTGCAGTATTTAAAATAGAAACATTAGTTCGCGAAATCAAACTAGATGTCACTACGGTACTTTCTTGATTTCTTCATGACAACCCTTCATAAACCTTCATAAAAGTAAATTAACTTGCAAAACTCAATAAACAACTCCTACTCTATTTGTACTTTCTCGTATTTGTATTGATATCTAAGTTGCAAACTTTTCAGATTTTTAATATGTTAGTTAAAGAGGAAGGAACGGAAATGAATATCTTTGGTCCATTCGTTTCCTGGTAAAAATCAACTTTTGCTAAAGTTGTTTTTTAGTCCTTTCTTTTTTTCTTAAAATGCTTCATCATTGCAATTTTAGCGTAAACTTACTCTGATGCTAAACCTTGTTATTAATAGCTCTGATTGAGTTTAAAACATTAAGAATAGTTTATGTATCTGTAAACAATAAAGAACTCTATTACTCTCTCTTTATTGTTCACACCCATAAATAATTCAATTTTTCAATACAACTTATATGAGATAATTTTTGTTTAACTGTTTAAACCTCTTGATGCATTATATGTTAAGCTTTCCCTAATAATTTTCTTTGAATACAGTTGTAATATAAAAGTGATAAAGAATATAAAATACATAAATTAAATAATGTCAGTGCCTTTATCCCTAAAGAAGAAGAGGGAAAAACCTAATGAAATGATATAAAAAATATCAATGTTACTTTAAAGCGTGTAATAAAACCTTTTAAAAAAATAGAACCAACATCAAACTTCAAACAGTGAAAAATTATACTTATCTCAAAGCGACTTATTCTAGAAAAAGCTCTTAAAGTCGGGCGGAGGTTTTCTGTAGGTAATTAATTAAATGATAGGCGACCAACTTCAATAAGATTTTCTTGAATAAGTTGTTTTTGAGATAAGTATTATTTTCCACTTTTTTAAGTTTGAAGACTGTTTTATTTTCAAAAAGATTTCATTTCATGCTTTTTTGTAATATTGATATTTTTATATAGATAACACTAAAAATACTTTTCTGAGAATTGCATCAAAATCAGTTCACCCAAATGTGAGTTAATCACATACAAACATACATATATCGACGGCGAAGTGCCAATACCTTCTAACTAACACAGACAAAATTTTACACAAAGTGAAAAAAATGATTAATTTCTTGAAAACGTTCAAATCAAGAAATCAATTTATATGGAGCACATATCAATATGACAGGCTTAATTTTTAATAAAATATTAATTTGATTAATAATCGTTTAGTAGGTATTTGGTTAGATAGAAGGTATTGGTTTAACATCCTCAGTGATTTCATTAAATAAATTGTACGATAGAAGGTATTGATTTTAATTAAAACAATAATTACTTTGAAAAATTGCTTTTACGATTGATTACACCCTCGCAAGTGACGCGACGCAACCCTACCGCTAACTTCACCCATTTCACGAGCCACGGCGCGGCAGCCGCTGTGAAAAGTTAATCGGCAATGTTCCGCGTTGAGATGTAGTAGTCTTGTACGTAGATAGGAGAAATTGCCATAAATTATATGCGCTAATTTAGTTAGAAGCTATTTCCACATTCATTTTTCTCCAGTTGTCGTAGAAAATACGGATAGGTGATTTCATCAACCCATGCGGAAAACGACCTTAATGTCAATGAAATAAAAAAGTCATTTTCTCGAAAAATGTTAGATAGGAGGTATTGGCACTTCGCCGTCGATATACAGGTCAAACTGACAACCTCCTTTTTTTGAAATTGGTTAAAAACCCCACTGATTTATTTTTCATATATCAGACTATAGTGTACTTTAATTCTAAGGTATTTTGCACATTGCAAATAATGTTTAAAAAAGTAATGTTATGAAGAGGTAAAGTTTCTAAATTTGTTTCGTACCATTTATAGGTCTAATCTTTGGAAATACTGATCTGATCTGATCTAAAAATTCTTTCATCTAAAGAGAGCTGCATTATATGCGGTTGACATAGGCTATAATTTACTTGGGCAAAGTTATGGGAAACATGTGAATTTTGCTTACCTCTATATGATAAGTTTCATGTGGTGTATGAATAATGCCTGTAACAACCCCATCTTCCATATGTAATTTGACATCAGATGCTTTCTCACCAAAAACTCTACCAGTGTAGAAATTTCCTCTGTCTATAAAAACATCAGTACATCAGTTAACATATTACTTTTACATGAGTAAATTATCTATCTATCTATTTAATAATAATATAAACTCAATAACCATTGTTGATGTTTTAAAAAATTATAAAAAGTTTTAATCAGAGAACCATATCGTGTATAACTTGTGAAAATTCTAGCAAATGCTATTTAGCTTTGCCATGTTCCACAAGGTATGCCCATGATTGTCAGTATGTTAGATGACCAACTTTACAACAATGAAGTTAACTTTGCCCAATGTTTATTACATATTATTTAGACATTTCTTACCCACATGAACAGTTGTTTCCTTCCCATCTCCATCAACAGAATAAGCTTTAAAATTAGAATGCAAAACTGAACTATGTGGATGAAGAATCAATCTAAAATTCTTGCCAAGAGTTTTAAAGTGCAACTCTTTTATGGTGTTGAATGGATGAGCAGACAATGTTGCTCCTCGCTTTACAATATGATGCTGTAAACTTGAAGCATGAATAGTCTCAAAATACTTTAAATTTTCATTTAGGGCACCTACAAAAAAAAAAAAAAAATTAAATGTATCATAAACTTAGCATTGTGCATTAGCTATGCTGCATAATACAACTATATCAACATTGTACTGCAATAAAAAGAGGAAGGTGACTGATCCTGAGACACTGTACTTTAATTAGTACAAAGCAGTGCAAATTGTAATTGTTAATTCTTTTTGCTAATCATACAAACTTAGTTCCAATATTTTAAGAAATGTTAAATTTAAATATTTGTCTGATAAATGAAGAGCTCAAAAGATTTCCAAAATACCTACCTACCTATTCATAGTTATATTTATGTAGGTACACAAATATTGAAGTAGCAAAATATTGGTTAAATCAAGAGAATAAAGCAAAGAACAAAGCAAAGGAATAAGACTTCTTTAAATATAGTACAGCTTTCTATATCATAGGTACCTATTTATTCTATTCTATAGAACTAGTACTTACATTCGAAAGAACACAATAATACCGATATATGAATAAGAATTAGTGGAAATAACATTTTAAACTTCAAAAGCACAATCACAGAACACTTTTACTATGCTTTTATTTTTTTTGACGTGGATACGTCTATGTTTTCGTTCTACAGGGGGTTCATTCTGTGAGCAGGAGTATATGCACTAACGCCATCTATTGGCGTATAAGTGAACTATGCTTGCTCTGCAGGGGGAGGGACATTCTGTCAGCAGGAGTATATGCACTAACGCCATCTGTTGGCGCTAGTGAATATTTTTTTCATTCAATAAATGAACGCAACGAATATTTATTTATTTAGTGTCTTCAATTTGTTTATTTATTTATTTTTTTAATTATTCATTTATAAATGCAATTATGCCACAACGTTGCATAATTCCGGGTTGCTTTTTATCAATTACTCATATATCCATTCATACATAGACGTATCCACGCATAAAATATGGCTGTATCAATGATACAGCCATATTGACGTGGATACGTCTATGTTTTCGTTCTACAGGGGGGTCATTCTGTGAGCAGGAGCTTATGCACTAACGCCATCTATTGGCGTATAAGTGAACTATGCTTGCTCTGCAGGGGAAGGGCATTCTGTCAGCAGGAGTATATGCACTAACGCCATCTGTTGGCGCTAGTGAATACTTTTTTCATTCAACAAATGAACGCAACGAATATTTATTTATTTAGTGTCTTCAATTTGTTTATTTATTTTTTTATCAATTACTCATATATCCATTCATACATAGACGTATCCACGCATAAAATATGGCTGTATCAATGATACAGCCAACCAGGGTTTTTTTTTTTCTTTATTGAAGTTTTGGCTACACTGACCATCAGCTTAAACATTAAATGTGAAAAAAATCTTAACAGAATTATACTACAAACTAATACAATGAACTTCTATGCTTTTACTCCAAGGCACAGATTATATATGCTAGTTGAAAATCACAGCTGAAAATTATCGATGTATTATATATTTTGAAATCAATATATCGATATTTTAACCGATATATATTGATCCGATGGATCTAAAATCGATACAAAATATCCAGTAATGAAAATTGTATTGAAAAAGATATTTTTTAAATTCTTATGACACTGAAGTCGCTGGAACCTGAAACTGTAGAAGATAGGACCGAATGGAAAAAAATACTTTTGTTTATCTGATTGATTTATTTATTTTTGTTTGATAACTTAAACAGGCCTTAAAGTAAGAAGATTTTCTAATAAAAAGGAATACTGGTAAAATACTTTCGTGTTTATTCGATTTAATCTATATATCGATAGTTTTCATTTGATATTTCAATGCTAAAATTGATATTTTCATAAATATCGATATTTCTTTTCATTTTAGACATCCCCATTTCCTTAAAGATTAAAAGAGAAAGAAAGTACTTTATATATATATTTTGTTCTTATTTTGTACCTTTCGGAACAAGCTAAGACAATAGACCACCCTGCCTCGTATTGAAACATGGCGTTAAAAGTCTTTAGTTTATAAAAATGTTTTTTTTTTATGGAATAGGGGGCAGTCGAGCAGGCGGATCACCTGATGGTGAATGATTACCGCCGCCCATGGACACCTGCAACACCAGAGGAGCTACAAGTGGGCCTTTGTCTTCTTCAGTTAGAGTTTGGCAAGCGAAACGTGACACCACCTATTTTTCCGTTTTCATATGGCAACAACATAGAACTGTCAGTTTGACACTACGTTAGACAATTCAAGAATATTGAATTTTGTTGTTTTTGCGAATTTGAACTTGTGTTTTTGGTTAAAAATTATGTCGAAGCCGATAAAAAGTTCATCGAGGAAACTTCTTTCCATCATGATTGACAAGTTTACTGAAGTGAAAACTGAATTAAATAAAAATTTCATGGAGAAATTACAACGATTAGATAAAGTTGTATCTTTTTTAGGTTAGTTTTGTATTATAATTTTGATACTTTCGTTTTAATTTTCTGTAATTAACTAAACAGATATTTTTTATAAAATATTGCTCTATTTCAGATAACTGTGATGGTGATATTCAACCAATAATGGAGGAGATAAATGCAATAAAAACTTTAGAAAAACAAGAAATGCTGAATTCGGAAACGCAGTACTTACAAAAAATTTCTTCAATGACAGGTCTCTTTTCTTGTTTTGATTTAAGATAGATTGATAGTATTCCTATAATATTTACATAGGTTTTTTATGATGTATTGGTTTTTATTGTTGACATCCAATGATGTCATAAGAATGTTTTGTTTAACAAGGAAATTCACAGAATTCATGAAACTAATCAAACCATGTAATTGTTATACATGCTAAATATGCACATAAACTTAACTAAATTAAACATAAATTGCATTCATAGTTGAATAGGTATTTAAATTATTTTGATGTATGTGTCTATCATTATTTGCTTTTAAATACATTTAACATATCTTTGTTTCAAAGTGTTTAATCTTTTATAGATGTAAGTATAAGGACACTAAGAAGGATAAAAAATGAAGCATTAATTAATAAAGGAAAATGGGACACTCCTGGGAAAAAACGACCTCATCAACCAACAGTGTCTGCTTTAGATAATTTTGATTTAAGTGCAATTCGGAATAAAGTAAATGAATTTTACTGTGTGAAAAAAATTGTTCCAACATTAAGAAGCCTTCACAATGAATTAAAAGATGCAATAGGATTCAGTGGTAGCCGTGAGACTTTACGAAAAATTATGCTTAAGAATGGATTTTCTTTTAAAAGCAATGAAAATGAACGTTCTATGCTTATAGAAAAATACCAGATTTCTGCATGGAGGCACAAGTATTTGAGAGAAATAAATATAAAACGAAACGAAGGAAAGCAAATTGTGTACCTTGATGAAACTTATGTACATCAGAATTATAAAGTTAAAAAGTCTTGGCAAGGACCTTCAACAACTGGTGTCACTACAAAGATATCCTCTGGAAAACGGCATATTGTTGTGCATGCTGGATCTGAGGAAGGTTTTGTGCCTGGTGCATTATTAGTGTTCAGTAGTAAATCCAAATCTGCTGATTATCATGATGATATGAACTCATCGAACTTTATGAAATGGGTCAGAGAAAAATTAATACCAAATTTAAGTAAGCCCAGTGTAATTGTTATGGATAATGCCAGCTACCATATAAAACAAATCAATAAACCGCCTATAATGTCTAATACCAAAGCAGATATCCGTAAATGGCTTGTAAATAATGGAATACATTTTGAGGAATATCAGACAAAGGCAGAGTTAATGTGTTTGGTTAATGATAAGAAAACATTGCCTGTATATGAAGCTGAAGAGATTTTAAAAGAACATAATCATGAACTTTTATTGCTGCCACCGTATCATTGTGACTTAAACCCAATAGAGATGGTTTGGAGTCAAGCAAAAAGAAAAATTGCAAGCAGAAACATTGGAATACCAGGAAAGGAAATGGAAAACTTAATAATAGAGTGTTTTAACTTAATTACCCCTAGTGACTGGAAGAAATACACTGATCATGTTTTAAATGTCGAAAATGATTACAAATTAAAAGATGGCATTGTTGAAAACGAACTTGAAAAATTTATTATATCTGTTGGTGCAGACAGTAGTGAAGAGAGTGACTCTGATGATTCCTTGTCATTGTTATCAGGTGTAGAATATTTAGAAACAGATTTTGACTATGAATCAGACTAAAGTATTTTTAGTCTGATTCATAGTCAAAATCTTATCTTAAATTTTCTATTGTGATTAACATGATGATTTTGTGACACCTGTATTATGTAATTTATCCATGGCACTTAATTGTAACAAAAATAAATGTTTTTTTTATTGTAATCTGGTGTTTATATTGACTAATTTAATTTGATAGATAGTGGTTCTGGATCAGAGCAAAAGGTTGTGATGAAAATCCCTTAGGAGACATGTATGTGTTATGAACACATTATAAATATAAGGGCCAGAAATCAAAATTGGCTAACATCACATTTATTAAAAAAATGTGGCCAGAGTCGCCCATATTCATTACAAAAAAACAAAGAAGTCGTTGCAAAAAACACCCTTTTAATTAATGACAAATATGAATTTTTAATATTATAAGTGCTGTTAGCCAATAGGTATAACGAATGGGTTAAAAAAAAGATTCGATTTAGTCCGTCAGTCAGATAATAGAAAAATATTGGATACGTATTTTTTTTCGCTTTAATTTAACAACAAATGGCTTAAGAGGTACTATGCGACGACTTCAAATATGCTTTGCAACAATGTTACTTTAATACAGTTTATCGATACGAAATCAAGTGTCAAAATGGAGTCCAGTGGAGAATGCCGATATTGACATTTCGAAATTGCTCATCATTGATAGAGAATACGAAATAGTGATTTTGACACAATCAAAGTGTCTATTTTTTACGGTGATGACGATTCTTGGTTGTCAGTTGAGTTAGTGAATAGGCCTACTGATATGCTGTTAACTGTACAATTAAGAACAGTCACGCTTTAGTCAAATGTTCCAAAACAAATAATTTTAATTGATATCTAAATGTTAAGATTAAATATAATTAATAAAAGTATCAAAATTATTTTGCAGTACTACATTCAGTGTTTACTGCTTAAGAATTTTTGAAATTGCCGCCCTTTTCTTGTGACACGTTTCGCTTGCCAGACTCTAAAAAATGTACAATAAAAATGTGTTCAAAAGGATTAAATGCAAATTTCAAAGAGAACAAACCCACTGAACCTTAAATGGAAATCGGATTATTCTTTGCCTTATAACTATAACAAACAGTAGTTTCTTCATATGTCTCATATCCCTATGAGGAAGTATTTTAAAAAAACGAAAGCAGTAAAAAAGTACCTAGATGGCGACCCTAGCAAAAGTTGGTTGATTTTTGCAAGAAACGAATGGACCAAAGACAGTCATTTCCGTTCCCTTTATCTAACATATTAGAAACTGAAATTTAAAAAGTTCGAAACTTAGTTATCATTAACAAGTACAAATAGAATATGAGTTGTTTATGGAGTTTTGAAAATTAATTTAATTTTAAACT